ATTTATTCCTCATAAATTGAGCTCCCAGGAAAAACTGAACCAGAAATTCCACGTGATAAAGCAAATTAAAAGAGGAAAGGATGGAAAGTGTAGAAAGTGTATAAACAAAAACGTATCGATCGACAAACTATAAAAGCAATACATATATATTCAATATAAAACAATGCATTGAAACAAAGGTACTCAACCGTCTTTAAGGCATCTCCTTCATTTGGGAGTGTCGTGAAACTCGAAATAATCTCTCGAGCCTCAAAATAACTTACAAAATTGAACAGTTAGAAATGTAAAACTATTTCAAATTACATATGTAAACAATCATTATTCCAACTCTCATCTTCCCACTGTACCTAAGTTTATTTGCTTGTCTAAACATTTTCAACTGATAATAAAGAGTATGTACATTGTTTAATATGTTAAAAATTAGTCTTTTGTTCCAAGTCAAATTTGCTTGCAATGTCGAAATACTGTGATGATCTTCTAAGCTGATAATCATTCTTTGGGTCATCATCAAAAAGAAGATCACACATCTCGAATATTATGCTAGGTCTCTCGAAACAGCCAATCAAAAATGCATGAATATCATTCAGAGCTTAGCCATCGCGACGAAGCGAAAAAAAGAAGAGACGAAATATGCCTTGATGACTATTATTATTCTTAAAATATGTAGTGATGAATACTGCCTGGTACTTCATATTTAGATCAAGAAGATACCAGAGAATCATTCTCATAGAATAGTATAGTTCTCACTAATCAAGCGGAGATAAAACTCCCACAATTACCACTAATAACATTTAGTGGAATGCAAAATTATGGAGGCAATTTTGGTGTAGTTTCAAGGCGACAGTTCATGAGCAAAACACCCCAGATAATCAGAAGTTGAACTATTTGATATCTTGTCTTAAAGGAGACGCATTGTTAGCTGTAAGAGGCTATGATATAGCGCCAGAAAACTACGATGTCATAATAAGTTTACTAATAGAGAAATATGGTAAACCTTTCATTACATATATATTGTAACACTTTACAATAAATTGAATTCCATCAAAAGAAATGAGCATGACTGGAAACCATGGAGAGAATACTTTGACAGCTGGAAGCTATAGGTGAAAATTTAAAGCATCGAGTATCGAAATTTCAATTAAGAATAAATTAACAGCGTGGATAGTTAATAAATTATATAAATTGAAACAGGAGTCTGTCGACTTGGTCAGTTAAAGGTATCCAACATACTTGACAAGACTAGTACTAAAAAATGAAGAAGTTGCTAGAAGTCAAACAAGAAGACAACAGGGAGAAGAAAGAAAACAAATATAATGTTAAGGGTCACAATCAATTCATCAAAGGGAAATAATACAATCAAATCAAAAAGGGTTCCAGAAGAAACTACTATAGATGGAAAAAGACTGAAGTATTTTGCAATAAGGACCATTGGAATAATTAATGAATGTAACATTTATCCCACACTCAAACTCCGAATGGAACGTTTGAGGAAAATCGCTGTGTGTTTCAAATGTTTACGAATAGGATATGCGACAAGTGATTACAAAAAGTGGAAACTTTTGTGTTTTCATTGTTTAAGTTTACACAATACTCACTGTGTCCTCTTAACTATAAAAAACTCACGCAAACAATGGATTCCAACAAAGAAAAATTAGTTGATATGATAGAACTGTTAAGAAATAGACTGAATTACTTCTAGCAATGTATTATTGTTTTAATTTAGGTACTATTATTTATTCCGTGATTTTGAACTCGAAGATTTGATCAACAATGCTGGTGGTTGTTAAGAAATTAAATTTCTTTGTTGAATGCAAGAAATGCCCTAGAAATCTTTCTATGTCAACTTTATGCAATTTTCTATGTCATTTTGAAACAAACAAAATTTGTTTTTTGATGTTCAGAACATAGTTCATCATTAAAAAAAACACATACGTAATATACTGATAAATATTTAAACCTAACATATGCGCATGATATATACTTAAATATAATGTAAGATTATTTATGTGTTATTATAACAAATCTCAATTTTATTCAGCAACAAATGTCACAGAATTTTACAACATTAAGTTTCTTACAAGACTTCAAAGCTGATAAGTTGAACAACATTGTAAATCCCAGCTCCCCAAAAAAATCGAATCAGAATTGGTCGACCACTGCTGCAACAAAAGTATCATTAAGCAATGCAAACAAGAATCAGCGTCAATAGTTTACTTACATGGAATCATACTGAAGCAAAAACCATTTTATATTGACAATAACAAATTTTAATTTTATTCAACAATAAACTTCGCAGAAACTTACTTCCACTGGTAGCATTGTTTCGTTGATGTAACCGAAATCTAATAGTCCGTTTAGCAAAATTCTGTCAATCTGTGTGCTATCATCCACGATGAACTTTCAATAGAAATGATACTATCTCGAATAAGTTCAATATTTTCAGCAAATTCATCCATGTTTTCTTCATAGGGAATTTCATCGTTTTCGCCCAATTCGTCATCAAATGCATAAAAAATTTTCAGTGAATTCCTACTTTTTTTAAATTTCTTTTAATTTTTTTAAATTAAAACCAAATTATAACAATATAAAAATAAAAATTACCGGAATCAATCTCTGAGGTGTTGCTAACAATATCAGTGTGCTGAGAACGTAGAGCAGTAATGGTGACGTAAAAAATGAGAATTGCGCACTTGTCATTGTTGCAGAGCTCTTATTGATTCCTTAATGAAAGAAGAAATTGTGATTGAAATATAAACGCCATTCTATATTTTAATGAGTGATAATTTAAACTGATAAACTTTGAAGTCGCTATTCTTAAATTAAATTATCATGAATCTCAGTATCTTGTTGATTTGAGTATTATTGATTTGCAAAAATGAAATAATTTTACGAAATGCACATTAATATACACTGAATTCGAGATTAGTTTCGTCTCACTTTTATCTGAATAAACTTTATTCTATGCAAACAGTTCATAATCCTAAAAAAAAAATTGTTTGTTAAACTTTTGCTAAATCTTACAAATGAAAGAAGAGATTGTGATAACATATATTTTAATGAGTGATAATTTAAACTGATAAACTCTGACGTTTCTATTTTTCAGTCTAACAGCAAAGCACTGATAAATTATATTTTATGAATTCCATTACCACACCATCAGTTGTTTTGTAGAAATTAATACTTACTAAATATGCAGTGAATTTAAAATCAATTTCGTTCCTCTTTTTAGCTAACTAATCCTTATTTTGTCTAAATATGATATAATTAAAAAAAATATGCTAGAAATAAAAATCAAATAATTTCGAGAATAAATGCAGAACTTCCCATTCCTAAATTCATTTTTAAATTGTTTAAGAATTCAAGCGAAAAGGTTACGAGATTCCGAAAGCGATAAAAAATGAATTTGAAAATTTTTTCACAAAAAACTCCACTTATCAGTTAATTTATATGAAATTATGCAGGTTATCACCAGAAATCATTTCCATTTATTTAATAATTTTATCATGCTTTGAATAGAATAAAAGGATTTACATGTCAAACAATGATTCCATGTTTTAATAGAGACAATTCAACAAAAAATTAACAATAATTTTTTTTATTTCCACTAAAGATTACAATGGACAAAATTCATAGCAACTTTGCTGTTTAAAAAAAAAAAAAAAAAATACATGTCTCCCTTACTACAAGGGAATGCATAGAGAAGTATATAAATGTTGGAATGTATATAAAGGTAACTTACATTTGATATATGTGCCAGGTACTATTGAAAAATAGCTGAAATAGGCTTGAAATGATCCACTTTCTCAGTTATTTGAATGATTGCAAAATGGAAATTGAAATCAATCGTACTGAAGCAAAAACCATTTTATGTTGAGAATATTGACAATAACAAATTTCAATTTTATTCAGCAGTAACCATCTTACTTCCATGATAGTATCGTTTCATTGGTTTATCCTTTCTTTAAAAATCTATTTAGCACAGTCCTTTCATCATCTGAAAGAACTTGGCAGTATCCAACAATGAACTTGCAACAGGGTTTTCGGCAAATTCATCCATGTTTCGTTGATTATTGTTGCAACTATCATAAATGATTCTCGAATTTAGCCAAAAGAGATTTACTAGTGCTATACTGAAATGAATAAAAAATACTTAACTAAAAGTGCTTTACCAAATTATTTGTTACTGAAATAACGATCTTAGTTCGAGATAAGACTGAACGATTACAAATTTGACAAAAAAACTCTAAGTTAACATCATATTATTTGTTGTATTGTCAAGAAATGTTGCTGGTGATTGTACTGTTAAGAAATATTTTTATGAACAAAGGAATTGGGTGTTCAATTAATGAAAGCGTAAAATTTTTGTACTCATTTTTAGTAATTTAACTTTAAATGCATTGCAAATTATTAACTTATGATTGCTATTTTATTGTGTCTCTTTTGAAGCTGTCATTCAGTAATTTGAGAAATTTTTGTGCTTGTTGATTACATTTACTTGATTTGTGTTGTGGTCAAAAATTTTCCTATTTTATTAGTTGGCTGAAATTTACTTGATTTTCATTTAATTCAGATGACCAACGACAATTAAATTCTTGAAATCTTTGTTCAGAACTCCAATTTAAATCAGCAAAAATAGCATACTTTAATAGAAGTTAGCTGAAACAGGTGTTTTTTCGAACTTTTATAAGGGAAGAATTTAGGTTACTACATAATTTTATAAGATACCACATGGGGCATTTTATGGCCTTTTTGACGTGGACAATAAAGTCTAACGAATCATTACTTTGTAGTTTTTAGCTTCAAATTATTTGTAATTATAAGTGAAGGTGGCAGAATTTCATTATAATTCTCAGTTTTTTGAGTAATACAAGACTGAAACTGGTTGCACTGTGACAAAAATGATTTAATGTCGAGAGTGAGCAAGTACTAATTTCAGTTTTATTCAACAACAAACATTATCGAATTTTATGGAATCAATTTTCGCTCATAAACGGATAAAATTATACGACTTGAACGCCGATAATTCTACCAGCATTTTGTCCCGTAGTCGTCCGATTAAGTCTAAGTACAAGTGGTCTGCCAGTGCTGGAACAGAAGAACTGATAAGCGATGCAAAGAAAACAACACTAGCAATATATTTATGAGAAGATCGAAGGTAAACTTACTTCCAAGGTAGCACTGCATCAGTTATGTGACCATCTCGCATTAATTGTGTGAGGATATTCATGGCAAGAGGGGAAGTGGTATGCTGAGATGTGCTTAGAAAGATAAAAGTGGTATAGTTGAAAGTAATATCAGTGAAGAAAAGATTGTCAAAATCGTTGTCATCAATATCGTCAGGCTCACCGTATGAGTAATAATCCTCAATTTTGTCGTTATCAACCTCAAAAAATTCCTTGAGAATCCGCACTTTTGATTTTTTAGTTTCTTTCAGTGTCATATCATATTTGTATAACTTCTCAAAAATTACCGGAGCGGATCGCTGCGACGCTACTAATAATATGCTTGTGCCGAAAATGCAAAAAAATAATGTAAAAAGTGCAAATCGTGGGTTTCTCATAATTGTAGAGCGTTTCCAGAATTAGTGCCTTAATGAAGGAAAGCTATGTGAATTTAATACAAACACATATTACAGTGAGTTAAATTTTAATTTGATGAGCCTTGAGGTTGCGACTTTTCAGTCTAACGGAAAAGGACGGGCAATTTCGATTTTCAGAAACTTCAATATCATTTTTTCAAGCATTGTAACTTACCAATCGTTTTTTGAAAGTAAAAATGAAGACCGGATGAATTTGAGGGACAAAATGCAAATATACAATGAATTTCATGTCAATTTCGTTTTTCTTTTAAACTGAATAATCTTTGCTCATTGCATGAATTTAACAACAAGTTTATTATAAATTTTGATCAATTTACCTCATATTTTTTGCAAAATAAAGTGGAAAATGACTTTTGTCCCATGCAAAATCGCATACTTTCGAAGAATTGGAAACACTCTCTTCAAAAGAAACAGATGTTAACACATGATAAACTTTAGTGGTAGTTAAAAATAACAGTAATTAAAAGTAGAAATAATCAGACAGTGTATTTTTCATTTTCCATCTTCCGGAAATATAATTTGTATATGATAACGAAAGTCAGTATTAATAGTAGAGTTTTTTTTTTTTCCATTTCAAAATGTGAAATAAAATGAAAAAATAATTCAGTATGAGTATTCGTTAATGAAGTTCCGCATATCTGTTTTGCATGCTATCATAAAAGTAAAATTTCTGTCTTTAACATGGAACGTAATCTTTATTAAATTATAGCTTAAAATCATATTACAAACAAATAAGAAAAATTAATTATCTACGATATTATTTCTTTCATTTTTGACAGAACTTTTGTTGGTAGTGTAAATATTAATACATTATCATCTTTTTCGATATTTGTTTGCTTGCTGTAATTGGAGACAAACGTTTATAACAAATTATATTGAACATAGCATAACAGTAATCACTGTGATATTTGTTAAATTCTTTTTAAACAATCAAAAAGTCGTAAATTACTTACAATCTAATCAATATTTATAAGTTATTTAAAGTAAACAAAATTGAAATAAGTATTTGTGTGCGTGTGTGTGTGTGTGAAAATTATCCCTTAAATTTTAATTAGCTTATTGCTATACTCTTATTTATTGGTAATTTCAGCCACCAAAAAACACTCCCAAATAAAGTATCCCAATTGATTTCAATCCGCTGATCTTTCTTCTTTTTTCATTATCATTCCATACACAGGGAAAAGTCTCATTTCGTTGTATTAAAATTCTCTTCTTTAGTTAGGGATTGTTTAGTATTTTACAGAGACAGCGCAAACGATTCTTTAGACACTAATATACTTTTTAAAGAAGTTTCTCGAATATAGAGCATAGCTCTGTATGCCTTTATCAATCAATCTTCTTTAGTTCATTGATGTTAGCTTTGATGAAATTTATGGTGAAAATGAAAAAGGATGATAGTCTATCGATTGAAAAATTGAATTATAATATATCAAAATAAAATTATATTAAATTGTTAAAGACTAAAGATTGTCTCAATTGAATGTCTCTTAGAGAAACATAAAATTGTTTCAAAGTTGCATTTTATGTAAGCAATGATTTATCTAACATATATCTTCCAGTTATAGCTGAGCTTATCTGCATTGTCTGAAATGTTACTTTTGTGAATAAAGAATATATATTCATTGTTTCATATTCTGAAAATTGTTTCTTTATTCTAAACCAAATCTACATGCAATGTTAAAATATATGTCAAAATATTTCTAATATAGCAGTCATTTTTATGAGCAAATGAATGTTAAAGTAGCAGTAAACAATAAATATTTTATACTATGTAAATAAACATAACGATTGCTCACACTATAATTTGCATTATACAAAGAAAAAAAGACCCGTGTCATATAAAAGATATATGAAGAGTAAAGATAATCTGATAAACAACTCTATATTAGAATATTGACATATATATTTGACACTTGTTATAAGCCAATGTCCACTTATGTAAACATTTAAACCTTTTATCTGGTCAATTTTTTAAGGAATCGTCTCCAAAAGATAATTTTGGGTGAGCTTTCAATCGTCCAAAGTTGCATAAACTCTCGTTGAGTGTAAATAATTCCTTTTTTCTCAAGAAAGTTGAACGGAGACAAAGTCATTGATTTTTGATTGCGCTAGTAGTCATTGTGCAATTTTTGCAAATTTGAAAAACTTAGAAATACATTCCAGTTATTTCAACATTTTCTATTAGCATTTTGTGTTTACACAGTAATATGTGGTGAACAAAGTGTCACATAAATTTTCTAAATTTTCTTTTAAACTATTTAGTGCAAAATAATGAAGTGGAAATGATAAATCATTGATTGTGATTTATTATCACTTCTTCTATCATTCTCTTTCATATCTTTCTTCTTCCCTTCCTTATTGCTCTTTTGGCATTTTTCTGAACGAGCAAATGCTTCGAAGGGTATATTTTATGAAATATGATTTCAATAACTACTCTAACTATAGAAAAATTTGTCAGTATGATGATGGAAATTATGACAAATCCATTTTCTTTTTAACTTTTGAAATATAATACTACTGTATCATATTGTAATTTTTCTTTTAAATTCATATTTCAAAATTTTATGGATTTTATTGTCAGAATTGAAACAACAAACTCATGATGTTCATTTATTTAGTTGTTTAAAAATGAACTGAAAAAATATCATCAACATTAAATTTTGGAGAAAATTCAATCGAAATCCGAGCTTTTTTGATTATTTCCTGGTGGTATAATTGCTAATCGATTTTAGTCAAATTAGCAAGATGATACAATGAATTCCTGCTTTAACATTAATGAGTATATAATAATTATTTTTGCAGTTTTTTTTTTCTTTTTGAAAAAAACATTAGCAAATAAAATATACTTATATCTGATGATTTAGCCATATTTTTTAAACAAATTCTTGCATCTTGGCATCTTGACTTTTTTCTGCTTCAATTTTACAATTGAGAATATTAGTTTATAGTTGTTCTCAACAAATTTTTTTCTTACAAAATTTGAAACAATATTACCTGTTAGAGAAATTCAATATCAAATAATTAAATTTTGTTTCAGTTGGAAAATTTTTTATAACCGGTAAGTTTTACAAGCACATTTGGTAATTATGTATTTAAGTTTTTTTTTTTCTTTCATTCCATTCGTATGCAAAGATTAAAAAAATTTTGCTGTGCATAATTTTGGAAATGGCTAACTTAAATTTCATTTAATTCAAGCTTCTATGAAAAGCTTTTTTTTTGAGTGTCCAATAAACATTACGAAAACATTGATTTCGAAGAATTTACAAATGTTTATTGAAATAACCTTCATATTTAATAAAAAAACAATTATTATTACTGCTATTAGATTGTACTATCTGTTGTGCAAAAAATATTTGTACTTTTTTTTTTTTTTTATTTCGTTACCTTAGAAAGAAAAAGAAATGTGAAATTAATTGATTCGATATGATTGTGTTCATCTTTATTTAATTCATTTATAACATAATTAAACAAGAAAAGAGAAACACATTGAAATTCGAGAAGAAAAACAAAAAAAAAAGTGGGAGGAAGGAAAATAAAATGAATCAAAAATTCTTTTTTTCAACAATAAAAAATTTTTTCGATTTCATTATATTTTAATGCTTTGATTTGCCTGACATTGTTGCTCTTTCTATTCTTTCATTTTATTCTCTTTTTTATTTTATTCTTTTTCTTTTCTTTTCTTTTTTTTTTTTTTTTTTTTTTTTTTTTTTTTTGCTTTTGATGATTCAAATTTGTTTAAAAATTTTCGTCTGTTTACAGTTTTTTTTTTTTTATAATTTCTTATAAGAACTGATGATTTTATTATGAATAAAATTAAAAGTGAACAGAAAATATTTTCATTTATCGCATTATTTTATTTTTTAGATAAATTGAATCGAAACACTATAATTTGTTACTTTTAATTTGTTACTGTTGTTTTAGTTTAATATCGGAAAACGTTAATAGGATGCTAGTGCTTTTAAAATTAATTCAAATTCAAAATTTCCTCCAATTTCATCAAAGTTATATATTAGGAATCAAAATCACTAACTCATGGATGTGCGGAATATTTTCCTTTGAAAATAAAAGAAGAATATTATTTAAATGGTCATAATTAAAATAGTATAGGAAATGAAATATACTACTAATGAAAAAAAACGATACTAATACTTTTTTTTTTCTCTCTTATTTCATTAGAATTTGATTTATTATTTTGACTGTATTTCTGATATAATTTGATTCGAAAGTAGTATTAATAATGCTAATGAAATTTATTTTCAGTTCGCTATTTGACTTTAATTTAAATTCAAAACCTTAATTTACACTCTGTTCTAAGACCAGTATAGTCTATGTTTACATATATTTTCTATATTACATATATTATAGTAAAGTATATATTTACTATTTTAGTGAGAGCAAAAAAATAAATAAATAGCTCATTTTTTACTAAAATATTATTTTTACTAAATTTCAACAAATTTTTTTTTCGAAATCAATAAATTTTGTTTTCAGTGATATTATATTCATTTACATTTGATTGTTGAAATGTTGAAATTATAGGTATAATCTTATTTCACTTTTTAATTTTTTTTCCATTAAAACATACTCGTATAATTTTAATAGTATCATCATTATTTATTATGCTCGAATCATATATCATTGGTTAAAATATTTGTTATTCATCTAAAGATATTTATAGTTTGCAAAATAAATCGTTAATATAAAAATTTTGAAATTCTAATTAAAATTTTATAAATCTTTTTATTAATACTAACATATATTTGACTAATTGAAATTATAAAAGAAAATAGGTATAATAGTAGGATATGAATAATTTCATTTATTCAACTTATTAAAAATAGATTATTATTTCTATATCAACTTTTTTTTTTTCTATATCGACTCTGTCAAATAAATTATGTCAACAAAACTAATATTATATTAGAAAAATTTCTTTTCTTAATTTTTAAGCTTTTTAAATTAAATTTTTTTTTTTTTTTTTTTTACTTATTTGTTTTAATAATTCTTGTGTAATCTATCACAAACATGTTTGAGACTATGAATCAAACATTGATTTAAACATTTAGCGATTGCTCCATGTTAACAGTTTTGTCATGTTTCTTTTTGATTTTATAGAAAATTTTGTTAGTTTGATTTTTGTGTTCGAATTGTTACCGTTAAATTCAATGATTTAGCAATTCAGAAAAATAGGTAAGTAATGGAAGAGATGGAAAATAAATCAATGGATGACCTATTAGGCGCTACAAAAGAATTATTATCGTTATGGATGACAACATATTCAAATGCGGCATTAAACAATTTGTCACCTCATGAAAGTATATTTTTTAAAGTCATTTTATTAGAAATATCAGAAAAATTGAGAGAGAGAGAGAAAAAAAAAGTAATATGAATAATGTATGCTATAAGATAATTTGTGTCCCAGAATTATTTCTAGTATTCGAACATTTTTGGTAATTTTCCCAAATTATCCTAAATTAGTCAATACTCTTTTTAACTTAGATTAGGCTACTATAATAAATATTTAATTTAATATAATAAGTGATAATTTTGAATAGATATGCGATGAAATCACAGTATAAATGAATTCAGTTTATTTGCCCGTGCTAATTTATTTATCAAACTTAGAACAAAAAGAAATTTATTGAAAATAATTAATAAAACATCAAATTATTGGATTTCAGTTCGAAATATTACAGCTTCACGACGTATCGAATCGATAGGATTGAAAAATTTTGAGGTGCTTATCTTTTTTAAAATTATTTGCATTGTTATCTGTTAATCAGCTCTCATTTTTAAAAAGTTTTTTGAAGTTAGCATTTCAGATAATATTTTAGTTGTATTTTATACAAAGTATTAACATCATTCATTCAAGTGATAAATTCAATAAATCAAAAATTTCATTTAGTACGAAATTTTCATTTCATTTCAAATTTTCATTTCAAATATTCTCCTAAATATATGATTACATTATCATCTCTAAACAATTGTTTCTATTTGCAAATGCTATATTGTTCACAAATTAATTTTTAAGATTATTTTTCAATAAAATTTTTTAAAATTTAGGCATTTTTCTCAAACACACGCATTGAAGATGATCAACAAAGCAAGTCAATGAATGCTTTACAATGCAAATTTACACCATCTACATTTGATGGTAAGCTTAGTAAAATATTTTAATTTTAAAATAATTTCATCTGTCAAATTTAAGATATCTTGATAAAAAAGAAGTGAAAGAAGGAAGCATTACTAAAGATCACTGAATGAATAAAATTTTAGCATTACATTAATTTTATCAATAAAAATTATATCAAATTATTGAAATTAAAACTAAAAAATTTTTAGAAATTTTGATTTAAAAAAAAAAAAATATTTGTTAAGAAATGTTTTATTTTACTGACCTTTTTTTTTTATAAGCTATTAGATATACCTACAAACTAATTTTTAATAACATAGATTTATATTTGAAAATTTAGATAATAAAATTATGTTAAGACATATTTTTCTTTCAGTTTTCTAACATAAATAGCATACTTGCAACTAAAACACTCATAATTTTATTAAAATATAACTCTTTGTAGTTTATTTGTATTTTTTAAAATCTGACAACTCTATGTCATTAATCAATTCCATCTGAATTAATCTTATCTGAGCAATCTTTTCAATCTATTGATGTGTTATTTCTGTTGTATGGCATCTGTTAGATCTAAGTATTTTGTTTTTTCTTTTTTGCACTTAATTAGTCAGATTTGAATAGATGAATTTTAAAGTATTGTCTTAATTAGTCAGATTTGAATAGATGAATTTTAAAGTATTGTCTTAATTAGTCAGATTTGAATAGATAGATTTCAAAGTATTGTCATTGTTACTTTTATTTGAATACAACTTTTGCAGCATAGTTTTTTTTTTTTTGAATTTCTAATCAGTTTTTTGACTAATCATTATATTCGCCCTTAATTTCATGTTACAAAATCTAATCACAATTTTTATGCAAATATTCGTATCACAAAAGGAAGTGTTATTTCATTCCAGTTGCATAATGCAACTACATAATGCGATTTTCTGAACTTTCACTACTTCTGTATTAATTTACGCCGTACAGTTTTTGCCTTGCTCTATTAAAATTGATATTTTTACTAATTATATTAGTATTATTACTAATTTATATTAAGTTAATATATACTATATAATAATAGTATTATATGTTATTATAACATTATTACATATAAAAGTTATTATGACACATCAAAATTAGTATTATTAATAATTTAGTATTATATTATATCATATCAGCTATATTATGTTATATCATAGGTTAATATTAAAGTTATTATTATTAATTAGCATTAAGTTATTATATATTATGTACTACAGCATTATAATTATTATTTATCATTATTATTATTACTATTATTGTTATTTATCATTATTATTGTCATGATTATTAATATTAATTATTGTTATTATTATTTATCGTTGTCATTATTGTTATTATTATTGCTAATCATTACTACTAATTATTGCTATTATTTTAATCATTATTTATTATTATTTTATTGTTACTATTTTAATTATTAATTATTATTATTGCTGTTATCCATTATTATTATCTCTGCTATCATTTATTTATTGTTTTTGTTGTTATCTGTTATTATTATTAATTATTATTACTAATTGTTGTTATTAATTACTATTAATCATTATTAGCTATTGTTATTACTATTAATTATTATTATTACTTTTATTTGTTATTATTAATTATTAATATTCAAAGATTTTTCATTTGCATTTGGGAAGTAAGCTGGTGCATTTGGGAAGAGTGTTTAGAAATGATCTAGTATTACTAATTTTTGGCAATTAACTTATTTAGGTGGATTTCATAAAAAGATATATTTAAATGCTGTTTGAAAAAATTTTTTGATATTAATTAAATATTATTAATTAAATCAATTCAAGTGATGTTGTGAATTTTTTTTATTATCTTGCAAGGTTTTTCGAAGAGTCAGGAACAAACAGGAATATGAATTGCTTACTTTGACTGTAGAATAATAAGCAGTTCAATTGATGTAACAATAGTGTTACGTTAGCCGTGAAAGCAAAATAGTTGGCGTCGGTTGCGCTTAGTTTACGAAACTGCAATAGAATTATTGATTATTTATTTAATATAATAACGATTTTAAAATGAACAATATCAATAGACACAGAATAGCAAGGAAAAATGTGTATTTCGCATTGTTATAAGTTATTTTTTAATGGAAAAAAGGGCTTACGACTTGTTAATATTAGGTTTATATATGTGTGATGAAGAAGGATTGCAATAGATGTTAATTTACGTACACAACAGATGTTTACTGTATGAGGATTGTGACAAGGTCAGTGATTAGCATGTCATTTTGCAGTTAGATCAAGATAACAGGAATGCATGAGGAATGAATCGGAGGGATCTAAAATTGGTTAAATGATACCAATGCTTTATTTGAAGTTTCGCAGCATTCCCAAAGAGTAAGAAAAGAAAAATTTAATGTAAAACTTTGACTGAAAGGTTTACAGGTAGATAGCAGAAAAATATTAAGTTTAATAACTAGGGCTTATTCTTATTTTTGATTGGGTATGCGACGATTCGTTTTTTAGTTTTTATGGTAATGTTTGTGGTTTTAGAGATTTTTTTTAGTTTTATTTTTGCTTATAATTTTTAGGTTTTTCTTTTTGTTTTGTTATTAATTTTTTTTTAATAGTTTTTATGTATGGGGTTTTTTTTTTTATATGCAGAATATTTCTTGTTTGTTTTATTTTATTTCATTTTTTTTTTATTTTCATTTGTTTTAAGGTTAGGTGGTTTGATTGTTTTTAGAGGTAATATTTTTTAGTTTTGATTTTTTGGATGTTACTTTTTTTAGTTTTGTTTTACAATAGTGCTGTTGCTCGTAGACATGCAGCGAGTAATGATATTGGTGATTTTTGTATTTTTTGTTTTTCAATAGTTTGTTTTGTTTTCTAATATTTTATCAATTTTTTTTTTTTTGGTTCTTTGTTAGTTATTTTTGTATTTATTAAGGGTGGTCAGTATCCTTTTGGAAGTTGATTACCTAAGGCTGAATCGGCTCTTATTCTTGTTAGTTGTTTGGTGCATAATAGGTACTTTAATAACTGCTAGTGTTATGCTAATGGATTGTGATGTTTATGTTTCTCTGAATTTTCATGTTTTGACTTTTGTTTTTTTCATGTAGGATTTTTTTACTATGATTTTTTCTAGTTTTTGTATAAAAGGAATTAGGTAGATTGTTGCGTTAAGGACTGTGTCTCAAATTGGATTTTGTGTTTTTGGTTATTAGTAGTGGTTTGCAGCTAGAATCGTACTTTTTATTAATTTCGTTTCTATCCATGGTTTTAATATCACGCGTATAATATTCTTTTCATGGTTCTATAAGAAAAAGAAAAAAAAAAAAAAAAAACCAAGAAAGTTTTTCCATTCGTTTTACTTAGATCATATTCAGCTTGTTAAATTCTTGATTGTTAGAGAAAAATTCCCTTATGTTCATCAAGGTTCGTTAAAAATTTTTTCCATCATATTTATAAAGTGTTTCTTTTGTTACATTAACAGATATGGTGACATTATCCACGTACAGATTTTTTCTTATCTCCCACGCTAATTCATTACCATCATTTGCTAGATTATAGTTTAGCGTCGCTAACAAGAAAGTGATGATATCATTGATATGACTCCAAAGAGAACTCTCTTAAAGTGATAAAATTTTTTATTTTCTTCGTCTATCTATATCATTTAGCCAAAGAAATCATGTACAATTTCTTTCTTCAGCTTGTAATTTTAGTTGCAAGAATGCTTTTTCAATATCAGCAGTTATCACTACTCTCATCATCCGAAAACGTATTAGTCTGGTAAGATTATTGGACCTCTGTACAAATTTTAAATCCTTTCTGATGCGCTGAAGCATCATAAATAATTCTTAATTTAGTTGTAGTCTTGCTAGAAGTCAGCACTTCATGATGTAGCAAATAGTGAATAACAGCTACTTCATTCGTTGGATGTACTTCTTCAATTATAATCGATTGTAGTTGATCTATAATTGTTTCGTGGTATAAATGGAGAATTGATTTATGTTGTAGTCATTGATTAGATTCTTCAAATGTCCAATATATAATTGTTACTTAATTTTTGTTTGGAATCTCTCCAAGACTAGCTAGCATACTTGAAACCTCCCACTTGCTTAATAATGGTTCGTTTGAAATGCTTTAATGCTTGGTTGTTATTGTCTTCTTTGAAAGATTCTTAAATGCCAAGCACTTCTAATTTTCAGAAATTTTCTAATTCTGAATTAGTGTTTACATTAAGGTATACTATATTTGAAGAATAAATGACATTCTTCTTACAAAGTTTGCTAATCTCACCACTCCTAACAATCATAGGGCCAACTTTTGACTGAATCAGTAATGTGTCTTGAATGTAACTACCTTGAATTCTCGTAGATTAATAAATTTGAAGAAATAGTCAGTTCTAATCAGTACATCAGGTTTATTTCCAATAATTTATTAATTCTTGGAATTCAACCTCTTTTGGTGTTAATATAATTTTACTTCCCTGAAGATTAGCTAAAATTTCCTTTGTCGGTTCGATGCTTGTTATAATGTTGCTAAACATGGTTTCTAGCTCGTAACACTTGTTGTGAATTGTCTTACAAGGTTTGTCGAGGGTCAAGAACAAACTGGAATTTGAAAGGCTTACCTTGATTATAGAATAATAAGCAGTTCAACTGATGTAACAATAGTGTTACGTTGGTCGTGAAAGCAAAATAATTGACGTCGATTACGTTTAGATTACGTTTAGCAATCATCATTTGTTTCATATGTCTCATCAATTGCTTATTTGATCAGTTATGTCTTACATTTCCATTTAATTATTTCTTATCACTTTACTTTACTTTAAATTAATATTTTCTTTAAATATATTATTTTTTTAAAATAACTTTTTCTTCCTTTCCGTTCTGTCTAATTACATTTCTAAAATGGATAATATTTCCAAACATTTAGCAAACACATTTTTTTGCAAACGATAATAAATAAATGATATTTAGGAATATGGTACGATGAATTTTTACATTTTTTTGCATCTGACTCTAATTATTTTAACTAATTTCGTATATTAAAAAGTGGAATTTTGTACATACATAAAAACTGCGGCTTTCCAAATGAATTTAGAGTAATGTCAAATACTGTTATCACTTTTTGTTTCATCCATTTATTTATTTTTTTTTTTTTTCGATTTGATCAAATCAAACATCATTTCCCTCTACATTTCTATTTGTCTTATTTTCTTATCAGATATCTCAACTGAAAAAGAAAATTGAAAAAAAAAAAAAAAAACCACTTTGTTGATTTTTTCGATAAAGCAAAAAAAAAATCATATGGAAAGAATACTGCGTTACATTTCAGAATCTAACAACAAAAAGGTAGCAACAGAGGTATTTAGTAGTATTATATATATTCATTTTTATTCACACCTTATTTTGGCAATTTTTTTTTTTGAGAATGCATGCTTTAACTTAATATATATTCATTTTTTTTTTTTTTTTAATCTATTATTTTTATCCAAACAAAAATGTTTTATTGCTTGCATATACTTACAAATGTATTTGCATGTAAGTCTTTTATAAATTAATATGTTATATCGTTTTATAATTTTATACAAAAATTTTACGTGTTCTTGCAGCGTATTTAATGTTATAAGATTTCAGATTTATTAAATTTATAACATTTCACTCACTTCAGTAAATATATCGAATGTTACGACATCAAAATTCCATTCAATGACCTCTTCGTTGCATAGCCATCGTTCACCCTCATTATGTAGTACTACCACACCAAATGTTTCATTGGATATGCATGATCAGGAAATGATTACTTTTCGTAAGTGTTGTATCGTTTTCATGTTATTACAGTGTTTTTTTTTTTTTTTTTCAATGATTTCAGTAATTTCACTTTTTAAGCATTTTTAGAATTCTCAACTTAATTTAATTTTTGAAAGACAATTTAATTAATTTTTTGTCAAGATTATGCAAATTTTCAAATTTCATATTGCTGAAAATTCTGTATTTCGATTTGCCGTAATACTTTAATTTCATCATGGTCATTTTGAGATAAAAAAATTAATATAACTAGTGTCACTTGCTAAGCTGTTTTATTTTTTATCCACTGATAATGATAACAATGATACCATGCCATATAGTTTTTGTTTAAGTAGTTTTTTGAGCTCATGTTAACCTGAATGAAACGGATCGTTGGAAGATTTCTTCTGTTTTTTGCATCCATAGTGACAAGCAAAGGATTGAAGGTTAAAACTAACTTCGGACGTCAAATTATACTTCAGCGTAAATTATGATTTAATTTTGCAGCTCAGTCTGGTGAACTGAATTCGGACATAGGTATTCAGGTTGGACCGGAGTCGAAATTATCCGCCATCAGTTCATCATCGAATACAGGTTAATTTTCAAATTTTATTATTTTTATTGTGAGATATTGTTATCTTAATGTGTATGTGTTTGCTTGTATATATATGTTTTGTGAAACAGTGATTCTAAGGATTGCTTCTTATTACATTAGTTTGAAGATTTGGAATAATATAGAAATTGTAAATTTGAAAAGTAATTAAGCAGATACGTGATGTACAAATGCCTACAATATTTACATGCTATTTTATATTTACAAATGCAATTGCGGACGTAGAAAAAAAGTAGAACGGATGATTTCCAGGAAACGTTCCAAAATTTTTTGAGCCAACAGAAACATTACCACCCTCCAATACACCGATGAGTCCATTGCTGTATTCTTTACAAAAACAGTAAGTATTTAAATTTTACATAATATTTTTGATGTTGTTTCAAGTGCTTTTGATTTTTTTTTTGCTATCATCGTAATATATCTCTGTCTGGATATTGATTTTCTTTTTTTTCGTTCATCTATTCACAATTTCAGTCACCTAATATTAATGTTTTTTTTTTTCATATGTTTAGATTTTCAATTTTTGTCTAAACATTTAATTTAACTTCGTATTTCTAACTCTCAATTATCCAGCGAGAGTAAGTAAAAATTATGAATCATTTAACTATTAAATGATGATATGCCGCTTGGTAAATTGTTTCGTTAATCGATAAAATGTTTTCCAAGTAAAAAAGTAGCTTCGATGTCAAAAATAAATTTTTAGAATGGTCACACAAAAAATAGTTTTGCACATTGTAACTATCACAAAATGATTGTAATTTTATAAGATCTACTCAGAAAAAAAAAAAAAGAAAGAAAACTGCAAGTTTTTAAGCTATTTTCAAGCTTTTAAGACCGAAATTAATAAGGCATGATCAAAATTAATTAATTGAAAAAATACATTTTCTTTTTAGTGAGAAATTGTACGGTTTGGACTTAAAATCCTGCTGATATTCTGTTTTCTTTACAATTTTTTACATTAACCGTAATTTTTACAACTTTCTAGTTTTCAGTCTAAATTATACTTTTTTTAGTTTACTGAAACTTTAATTTACTCATTACTTTATTTTGCTGTAAAACGGCTATCCTAATTTGTGAAATTTAAATTACCGGTCATATTTATTTTCTCATACAATCTGGCGATAACATGTTTTTGAACTATTGAAATACTGGCTATATTTTTGCCGATTTCATGCAGATAATGTATGAAAATCTCCAATACTTTATGCTCATAAAAAAAAAGAATTTTTTTTGTGGCAGATTTTTTCGAAACTAATAATTGTTATTGCAGTTTTCGAAGAAATTAATTTTTTGTAAACAATGGAGTTCTTTTTCATACACTTAGCGCTGCGAACATCCTCAAAATTTGTAGGTTATTCAGTGCAAAATTTTTTTATGGTAAAAGGAATTATTTTTATGTTATTTTAGAAAGGCTATTTTTGTGAAAAAAATTTTTTTTTTTTTTTTTTGTGGTTTTGAATTTAAAAAGAAATAAAATTTAAGATATACTTTTGCAATTATGCCCATTACAAAATAAAAAGCTTTTCATGGAAACATTCAGAAATTTATCGGATGGGATGATTTATTGCCATTATTTCAATCGATAGCAATCATAGTATTTTTTTATTCAGTTATTCTGATCAAAAGCAAAAAAGGCAAGAGAGAATAGTGTTCTGTTGTCTCGATAAGCTTTCCTTTGCATTTTAGATCTTTATGTTTGAAACATTTTTATCATTCAAGCTGTTTTTTTTTTTTTGCTTTTTCTTTGCTAGGAAATGCTTTATGCTAAGATTATGTTCCTTTTCATTGTTGAAATATCGCTGGTTTTTTAAAATTACATCAGCAGGCTATATAACTTCAAATATATGTTTTAATTTTATTAAAGTTAAAGTCAAAAAAAGCTCTGGATTTGAGGATTGTAAATGAATTTAGTTCCATTCTATCAACGTGTCATCAAGTGTTTCCCTATCATCTTCTCAACTTTATAATTTTTATTTTTATTTTTTTTTTTTTTTTTGATTGAGACTTTTTATCAATGAAAGAATATTTTCATTTTATGGATCGGATCACCAGTAATTATGGTTTTCACCAACACAAATCAGTTAGATAGCAATGGAATTTTAAATTGCGTTGGAATGTGAAATAATTAATAAAAATTATTAGCTTTCATTTTTTACTTAATACTTTTTCTTGCAATAAAGATTAGAAGTGAAAAAAGTAGTTTGTTATATATTGATATTTTATTGACGAAAATAAGCTAAAAATTATTAACAAAAGCCAATTATATAGTCTTAGAAATATTTCAAAGTCTTAGAAATATTTCAAATAAAAAAAAGTAAGTTAAGCTTTGTTTTGAAAGTGTAATTTTCAATTTACCTGTGCATCATCACAATACATTGCAATATTTGCTCAGTAGGCGTATACAGTTCCATCAAGTTTTCATGACTCTATGTACTTTTATATTTAATATTTATCCAAATTTATAGCTCACAGCACATTTTATACACTTAGGCATTTTTTTAGATTAATTTATTCATGAAATCCTTGTATAAAATCTCCCGTTAAATTTGGTTTTTCATGCTTTTTAATTATATGAAGATCTGTTTCTTTTTTTTTTTTCTTTTTAATTTCTTGGAAAATATTACTTTTATCAAACGATAAGTTGTATGTTGTTTTTTTCTAGTAATAATCTTTATCTCTCATTATAGTCATGCAAAAAGGTCACATATCTTCGAATAGATAAAACATTTAACTTAGCATTGTGTAATAATGTTTCATTTTTTATAAAGCTATTGTTGCTAATACAGATAGGCCTTTTAAAATTTTGTAGCTTTTTCCTAATGTTTTGTTATTATGTCTTCATTACTGTCACTTATCTTTTTTTAATTTACAAGCTTTCATCTTTTCCTTCAGAAATCACTCTAAGCAAATATGTCAAATGAACAAATAGGAATGTCATTGTTTTCATCATTATTACCATTAACAACAGAAGCAAGAGCAACAGGAAAAAACTCAGAATTCCAACGAAGATCTACTTCAATTGACTTAGAATCAGGAAAAATTGATGAGTGCATCAAGATTGCATCACCATGTAATCATGATAAAAAAAGTCGCCGGTTCATTGCTTCAACATCCAACATTCCGGAAAATTCCCAATTATCAATAGTGAAAACTGATTTATCACATAATTTATTAGCAGCCGGAAATGTATCATTGGAAAATTTTGTTGGTTTACAATCATATCGTGCCATTTCAACCAATAATTCATGCATCAATATGCGAAAAAATGAGCAGTTGGATGATTTTGATATGAATATTCGGATGACTCACAAGGATAATTATTTGGCTAATAATTCGATAAACTTTTCATCATATCAACCATCAACAACAATGGATGCAAAAATTTCAAATAACTTTCCAATTCATATGTTACCTTCAACAAATCCATCATCACATAATAATTATTTGGAATATCATAGCGTACCATCGACAACAATAATAACTGCAGCAGCAACAACAGTAACAGCAACAACAACAAGTAACAATGTTATAGAAGAAACAAAAGCGGTAATGTTGGATGAAAGGTGTGTTTATTATCATCTTTTGAATTATATTTTTAAGTGACTATATTCTTTCCAGATATCGTGGTGAATTATCAATTCTGGAAAAGTATCGTTATGATCTCAGTCGAGCTCAACTTAAAGCAAGTTCACGGACATCAGCTTTACTAGCAGGTTTTGCTATGGTAAGTAAAATACAAATTAAACTTTAATATGATTTTAAATTGGAATAAGACTTCACTGTTTTCCTGTTATCAATAGTTTAATTTAAATATCTCACTGTAGTACGATAATACCTGTAGGACATATTCCCGCATAGCGCAAAATGGTAATATATCTCACAATGCCAAAAGAATTGGCATCATTGTTACGATTCATTATTTAATTGCTTCACAATTTTTTGTATTGTTATAATTAAACTGGTTGTTTTTGCCTAATTTCTTAGATCCAAAACTCAAAGTAGAACCTAAGTAAGGTAGTACGTCATCTTTTCTTTCTGTTGTTTGCAAAATTATCAGGTTTTTGAGATTGAAGTTTTGGAACTCACTATTTATGTCATTTTCAAATCTAAGATTTCTAAATGATTTTTTTTTATGCGGTATCTTCTGCGTTTTTTTCAACTTTTCGGAATGTTTTTTTCCAGATTTTTTGACAATGTATCCATCGATGTTGTTGTTATTGAATTTTAGGTCACAATTTTTTTTGCTATCTTTCATTGATTTTCTTCAAGCGAAGCTACTAATGAAATAAACCAGATAGGAAATATAATGAAAAGGACTAATAAAAAATTAGAAATATTTGGATCCTAAACAATTTGACAATTGATATTCTGCATCTTTCTTAGATATTATCTTGGCATTTCTAATTGATTTTCATTACTGGATAAATGGATAATTAATTTAGTAAACAAATTTATGTGTAATGCTATGTATTCGATCTCCTTTTAAATTGTTCCGTAAATCGCCAGTTTGTTTTTTTTTTTTCTACTTTTCATCAATGATTATTAAATATTTCCAATGCAGTCATTAATTAATCAGCACCAGTGCTTCATATTCATCCTTTATTTCTCGTGTTTTAATCGAATTTTCTTGAGATTAATACAAGTTTATAATTTTTTTTTTTTTGCTTGTATTAATGTGGTTATCCAACAATCTGCTTCGTTTTTAATTAATCTGTTTACCATTTGCTACAGCTAATAGCTCGAAAACATCATAGTATATGATTTTGTAATAATAGTTTTCTCGAACATCACAAAATAAATATTACATTAAGTTATAATATTTTGTTATGTATTACCACCATGATTTATTATCAATAAATATTAGGTATAACAGAAGACTAAGCAGTTAATTAAAGATTGAATATAACGTAAGCATTAGTTCCAGTTCGATGAGATATTTCTTTTATAGTAGAATTCAGTAGCTTTATCACAGGTAGTATTGAACTGTTATTACATTCAGCAACAGTATTCAAGAAATAAATAGCAAATTAAGTTATGAGATGAGAGTAGTATATTTCATTATATTTAGGTTGCCTTGGTGGAATTGCAATACGAGCGAACTACGCCACCTTTTTTACTGATAACACTTGGTGTAGTGACAACACTTCTTGTATCCGTTCATCTTCTTGCACTGATGATGTCAACATGTATATTACCTTACATTGAAGCGAATGGTTGTACGCAAGATTCACCTCACATTCGATTAAAGTAAGTTTGTTTTATAATAATTGATTAAAGAAATGTCATTATGGTTTGAGAAATACGGTGATGAATTTGAGAATTAGCAGTAAAAGAAAAATTAGCTTTTATGATAGCAATATTTTTAACATTAATCAGCATTGGTGATATTTTCTTCTTTTCACCTATAAATTATTTTTCATCTTTTTTCTACATTAAAACAAAATGTTTGCATTACTTACATTTCAAATCATCCTACTTCAAATGTTTACAGTAATTTCATATATTTATCGGTGGCTAATTTCAATTTTAATTCCACTTTTGGTCCATCATTTTTGCTTGAATTATTTATATTTTTTGATTTTAGCAAGCCTCGTTTTCATATTTTTTTTCCTTACTTATATCATTTGAAGTGGCATTTCATGTCTTTATAATAGATTTTTTCATCAATGTGATACCAATGATTAGTAATGATATTACAAGTTAGTTTAAGTTAGAATAGTGCGTATTGTTTAGTAACTGATGACAAGTATCATTTCTGTTGCTTTATCTTGTTATATGAAATTTAACTGTATATGTAAGTAACATATATAAGTACTCTAGTATTTATGCTATCTCGAGTACTTTTATTTCATTTCACATTTTTATTTTCAGATTCTATATCGATCTATCATGGTTATTTAGTACATGTATTGGTTTGGTGTTGTTTCTTATTGAAATTGGTATAATATTTTTTGTAAAATTTTATGCAGTCAACTATATTACTGCTGCTTATATAACCACTGCTATGCTCAGTAAGCAAACAATATTTTTTTATTTTTAAAAATTTTTTCATTTTTCAGAATAAAATATGATCAACATTTTAATGCATTACGTAATGATGCATGCTGCAGTATAAGCTATTTTGCTTCTCATTATTACCTAGCATATTTTGGAAGTTATAGGTAAATAGAATGTTCGGTAAAGAAAAAAATTTGAGAATTGAGATGGAATATTTAACAAAGAATTATAATGTAAACTACAATTCCATTTTGAATTTTGCACACTTAAATTAACTTTAAACTTTTCCATTGAAATATTTTTTAATTTATTTAAATTTCAATTTTTAATATTATTTTTTCCAGTTATTTATTTTAATATCTTTGTTTGTTTCAGTACCTGTTGTAGTGGTGTTTACAATATTCTCATGTCTTATTCATAAAAATCGATTTATTCATTCAATAAATCGTGTTGGATCAAAAGCGATTGATTTGCAAAAATTTTTGAACGAAAATAATGCAGCAATAGGAAGCAGCATTCCGAATACTGCTACTGCTACATCTATTGAACGACATCTGGTAGGTGCTGGTTTACATGGTATTCGAGTTATCCATCATTGACACAGACATTATGAAGAAATTTTTAAAAATTTAATGTTTTTTTTTTTTTTTGTTAGTTTTCATTACTCTTTTCAAGTGCACTTTAATATATGCTTTGGCTTTAATGCTATTTTTTCATAATAGCTCTCATATTTGCTGTTTTTCCTTTAACAGATAACGGTTGTTTTTCTTTTTTTCTGGTATATTATTGAACTGGAATTGTTTATAAGTAAACAAAATCAACTAGAGGAATATGATGAGAACGATTTTTTTTTTTAATGCTTTCTTATTCGCTGTTTTTTTCTTTTTTTGTGCTTTCTTATTTGCTCTTTTATGCTAAATATTTTTGAATAATTTTTGCTATTTCATTTTTATTTCTTCATATCAGTGGTAGATCAAATTATTTTGTTACAGCTTTAGATCAAAACATTCGTTACACGAAAATTTTTTTTGTCTTTATAAATATATGAAAACATCGTCTAACTGTTATTCCACTCTATTTAATTGAATTCACTATTGCTATTCTGCGATTTCATATAACATTTACACTTTCTGCTTGGAAATTGCTACCTGATTACTTCGAAGCTTACGATCGAAGGTTATTAGCTTCAGAACGAAAGACTTTAAATAGTAAATAATGTAATGTGCTATCTCTTGACCTCATCATCCTCTAGACACATTTTTTAATTTTCGATAAAATAAAGCCTTCATCCTTCAATTTCTTTTTTTTTTCTTTTTTCATTCATCTTTATATGTTTTCCTATCATTTCTCTACATTCTATTCCGTAGTATAAGTTAAGCTAATTATTTGGTCAATCTTTAGCTATAATTTGCCTCAGGTGAAGTTTTTCTACTTTTCAGTAAAGTTTTTCTCCTTTTTCAAGAATGTTATGCATCATAAGATTAATTTCTTCCACATATCTTTGCAATGATTTTCGGTGCATTTCTTCTTTTTTTTTTTCTACCTGTACTGTTTTTGTTTTTTGTTTAAAGAATCCAAAGTACTTGACACTGCTACAGTAAAGTTGTTAACTGTTCAGCGTTTGCTTTTCCATACTTTAGTAGGTAATATTGGACAATAAGTATAACGAAAATGCAGAATTTAAGACACACCTTGGACTCAAATTTTCTTTTTTAAATTAGCTATGTATTTTTGCATATCTTTCAGATGTTTTTGAGGACATTTATTATTCTCTTTCAACATTTAATAGGCATTTCCGGTGGATTAATTTTCGGTTTTGGATAAACAGTATAATTAATGATGTGTTTTTAAGATGAAATTAAGGGGACTGTAACTTTATAAATGTTGAAATTGATTACCTTAGTGACATTATTTCCTTATCACTTTCTCATAATAGCCTTCTTTCAATAATTTAGAAAAATATAGGCATCAGCAGAGCCTTAAAAAGGAAAATTTTATAAATGATTAGTTGCTTTAGGAATTAGAAGAATCTTTTTCTCATTGTATTTTTTATTAACCCAACTAATCATTCATTCTTAAAGAACTCTTTATTATAACGTTGTTAGTCTTATAATTTTTCAAATTTCTTTTTGATAGTTAGTTCATTTCTTTGTTAATTCCTTGAATTTTATTACTTAATATTTGCTCAAAATAACTTTTTTAACCTTTAAATCTTTTTAACTCTCACTGCTGACTTAAGTAAACTCAATTTGCTGTATGAAAGCACTGTTGAATTCACTTATATCTTTAGAAGTATAATTAGTAAATAGATGAAATAATTTTGCTATCTAAGCTCTAAATTTTTTTACGACGCTTCAATTTAATTCATTTTTTCAGGACCAAAAATTTACACAAACCCAGAAATATTGGCTTGATATAACAGCTTACATTGCTATGATTCGTAAATTGAATTATATCTTGATAAATAATATATATGGCGTATGCTGCTTTATCAAATTCCAAATTTTTTAGCTGCTTCGATCTCCATAATTTTTTTCATCATAAAATCATCATTTTGGTTTTTCTTATTGCTTTCATACCTCCTTTTTTCACATTTTCGCACTTAATTCATAACATTTTGTTTTCAGATAACAGAAAGAGCATTTAACCAAAATATTTATTTCTGCCATTTGCTTAATAAACTTATTCAGCGATTATTTCTTTCAGAATTAATCATTTTTTTTTTTTCTTAAGTGAAATATTCTATTCTTCTTTTTTGCCTTCGTGTGCATCTTCATACTCTTCCATAAATTAATGTTTTTCTTGAATTTGATGTTTGAATTCATTATCAGACTCTTTTAATCATTATGTTCTATTTATTATAATTTTTGCACTTTACATGACGATTAGATTATCTTCTTTCGGAATACAACGGAATGGTAATTTCACCCTTCATTTTTCTCCTACTTCGGTTTTGTAAAAATCTAGGCAGCAATTTTAAATGATTCTGGTACAGTTATTATCAAATTTATTGTCAATTACAGTTATTGCCACTTAATATACATCACTTCAACATTTCCTTGTAAGAGATCTCCATGTCTAATGTCATCGATGTGCATCTATAGGATAATCACTCTTCAGTGAATTTTAAATTATTGTTGGGATTAAGATTACATGGTATATACTGATAGTTATAGATCAGAAAATGCTGTTTTAGTAAATTTTCTTCTATACCATAATTAATTATCTTTTGATCAGTGCAGATATGATTTCAATTTCAATTACCTACTTTAAAAATGGTTGAGCAATTGTCGAAATTTATTTTGAATTGAAAGAAGTTGCTTTTAGGAATTATTTGCTCGCTTGTTATTCTTTGCTTAAAATAACTTTTGCTTAATGCTTTCTAGCAGACTATTCTTTGTATTTCTTGTTTAGCATGTTTAACAGAAATACATGAATAAAAAGAAAGAACAAATAATTTTCTTGAATTCTGTAATTATCAAGATTTTACTACTCTAATCTGACTGGGAAGTAGTTTTACAGCCTAATATTTCATGATAATTCCGTTATACCGATGACATTGCTTTTGATTACGCATTGCTTTTATCAAAATTTCCTATATTATCTTAGAAGTTTAAAAATATCAAAAAAGATTCACTGCTTATTTAGCTTATGCTTTTTTAACAGCTGAGAAGTGAATATATGGATTAATGATTTTTGAATCAAATTTCGACGCTTCCAGGTGGGAAACAACTTACGGCTTTCTGTCACATCATTTGAACCTTTCCAAATAAATTGTTTGGCATGTGCTGCTTATGGGATATTCTCTTCATTGAATATTGAATTGAAAAGTATTTCTAGTGTTCAAGTATTGATAAGTAGAATTGGTATCTCTTATAATTGCCAATTTGAATAAATTCATGTTAATTTCGAGCTGATATCTTTTTTTCTTCTTTTTTAGTAGAAAATTAATTTAAAAGCAAATTTCAGCCGAGCAGAGATGAATATACGACATGAAAGGGAAAAAACCTGAAGGTTGAGGTATAATTTTTTTTTTTTTTTTACTCTTTGCCAAAAAAGAACTTCCTTATATTAAATTTTAATATAATAGAAGATAAGATAATTGACGGAGTTAAAAAATGGTTATTATGAAGAGACAATTTCATAATGAAAAAATTTTTTCTCGGAATAAAAAAATTAGAACAAATTTGAAATCTTTTAGAATTTTACAACTGATAGTTCCATTCTCACTTCTTTTATTCCACTTACTTTTCTTCTCGTGTATCTTCTTAAATTCATTATTTTGCATTAATTATTTGCACAATAACCGCAATCATTTTTATGAAATAAGTGGCGGATATATCTTCACATAAATCAGATAGACACATTCTTGTTTAACTGATGAAAAGAATTTTCTGCTAAATTTTAATAACTAAATGATAATACTTGATCACATTCAATATGGATTGAAATTGGAAATTTATTCAATAATATTTTTTTTTAAATAATTTTTAACTATAGTAATAATACATTAAGAGTGGCAGAAGCATTTTTTGTCGTAGACAACCTGGAAAGCATTTCTGACCGATTTCCAGTATAATAAATGGAGAAGAAAAAAAATTATTCACAGTTTGAATTTAAATTTCTTCCAAGAAGTAATATTTTCTAATGTATGAAACTTACAACTTGCTGTGTACGAGATGGAAGCAGAGGATATCCAGAAATTTTCTGCCAAATAACCTGAATACAAGAATGAAGCATTTCTTAAAGTTACCAGTAACATTTATATTTTAATTAGCCAGCATTTTACAAGAGTGAAGTATTCTAAATCTTTTCACTTAAGAATTTATGCTCATAATTGCTTTCTCATAACGCTCATATTTGGATATGGATTAATATTTATGTATCATGATTTGTTTCGTATAAATAAATATTAGCTACTTCATTATATTTCTTAATTGATAATACCTCTTCCATAAACAGTGAAATCTCTGGTTGTTATAGTTGTTTCTTCCAAATATGGGAAACACTTAAATAATCTTATTTACTGAATTCTTTACACAATTATTTTTCAATTTAATCAAGGATTTTTTTTTTCTTAAATTCTTTATCTTTTTTACATGATAAATACTTTAATCAAATAGATTGTTAATATTACTATGCATTATTTTTAATAATTTATTGTAAGTTTGATATTATATATTTTTTGAACTCACATGTCGTTTGCATATGACATGCCATATATGATTTTTCAATTCTGTACATGAAATTGATTGTACTGATATGCTCACTGTTCCTAGAAATTGATTAATTTAATTATTATAAGATTTTATTCACACTTTTATAATTTTTTGCATAATTCTTTATTCATACGCTTCATTATTTATGTTTTTTATATATTATATATCAAAGTGTTTTTACATATTTTGATATCATAATCAAATTTTCGAATCATGGTACATGCAGTACTGTTTGCAATAACTGTACGCAGCATTTTATCAGATATCTTTTTTCTTTTATACTGATCATTAATAACTAAATGAACACTTCCTTATTACTAAATTATTATTATTATGATAAACTTATATTTTTATATACCGTTTGGCAGTTTTCTGTCAACAAATTTCATAGCTTTCAGTCTTCGCGTGATTTCTTTATTTCCATGAAAAATTACCAATTTAAGATGAACTAATTTTGCTTTATACAATTTAATCGATTTATTACGAATTAAAATTTCAATTTAACTTTGCTAATTTTTGTGTAAAATAAGTTTCTCAATAACTTTTGACAAATTACAGTTGTTAAAGTTGAGATAAATTTTTGAAAATTAATCAATTACATTTTAGAAGTAAGAAAATTGATAAGTTTAATGAAGGATAAAAGTAGGCATGGAAACGAACAATGCAATTACTATAATAGATGCAAACAGAGTGTTAATTCAAAAATAATTGATCACATCACCTACCACTTAATTCAAGCCAATGAGCAACTATAGCATAACGTTTGCATGGTGCATTGTTATCACGATGAATTTGATAATCTTTCAAATATTTATCATATATCAATTTTGGATTTATTTTTCCAAAACGTTCTACGCCATCCAATAATACTTTTAAACCTACGGTATTGTTAACTTTCATTTCAGCAATAAACTCAAACGAAGCTTCTGCAAATTTATTCTTTTTTTATCACCGTGTAAAAAAAAAAGAAAATAGAAATAAAAAAAGATAGCAAGTTTAAAATTTATTATATTTAATTCGATTTAAATATTATTTTAAGCAAACTATTAGTGCAGAGCAAGTATAGAACATAATTTAAGCAAAAAGAAAGAATGAAAAATAGAACATAATTTAAGCAAAAAGGAAGAATGAAAAATAGAACATAATTTAAGCAAAAAGAAAGAATGAAAAAAAGTTAGTATTCATGTGAGAAAAAAACGAAAATGTTTTACGAAATTCCAAGCATAACTGATAAGTTTGGAGATTGAAGATTATCAATTTGCAATAGATCGTTGAAAAAATTTCTCATAATGTGATTTGCTTATCAATTTTTTAAAGTCTTTATGAAAAGTAGATTGGTTAAGAATGCATTGTAAACAATCAGAATTTTGCTGGCAGTACTAAAATTTACAACTGATTTCTTTTTAAACATTTTCAATCCTAACTTTTAATCTCCATTTTTTAATTTTATGAAAGTGAGGAAAAGGACAAGATTTTAATATATTATTTAAAAAAAAAAAAAAAAAAATTGGCCATAGTGCTTTTTTCTAATAATTGATTTTTGAAAATATTTTTTAAAAAATATGAAATTTATTTAAGAAAAAGGAGTTATTGGTGTATTTTGAATAAAAAAAAAATCTTAAATTCAACATAAAATTTTATAAAAGCTTTCTTAGTAGCACAAAAATACTTGTAATAAGCTTTTTAATAAATTTCCATTCATCATTTGATTCAATGAAAAGACTATGCCGTTCATATTTTCTGCATAAATCACTATCAAATGTTTCTCGAGTACTTTCATTTACCTAAAAAAACGAAGAGAAATGCTTCATTAATTTTAATAATAAATGTATAGCACTATAGAATATTCTAATGGATTCAATTAATGCTTTATTTTATATTTAATTTAATTTGATTTAGCACTTCATGTTAAATCAATTATAGCAAAAATAAATTTTATGTTTGAATTACAATGTTTACATATAATACATACCATTACAAATGGCACCCATTTGTAACAATGATTTTCATTTTCTATTTGATCATTTGAGTAATCCGAAATCAAAAATACGAAGATTTCAATATTCGATATTAATGGTAGTAATTTTGAAGAATTAAATGGAACACAATTTTATTTCAAATTTTTAGCAAGATTTTAGAAAGAAAAATTGAAAATTATCAAGTAAGCATTCAGTTTTATGCTTTTCCATCCGAAAAAAAGCAAAACGATTGATAGAATTAAAATTTTTCTACTTCATCTTTAGCTATTTCTCCTTCAGTTGTTTGCATTGCCCAAATAATGTCAAATTTTTTGAAAAGAAACATAGCATAATTGAGAAAAATTACTATTTGTAACATTTTGAAATGAAAAAACTGTTGAAAATGACAAATTGATAAGTTTTTATTCAATTAATATTATGCAAAATTTTCAAAAATTTATACATATATATATATTTCTTTTTTGGAAAGCAGTAGTTTATTATTATTCGATTTCATAGAAAAATAGAATGCATAATTAAGAGACAAATAATTAAGTGAAAATAACAATTTATTTCATATTAGTTTCTAACACTTTAATCATATGTTTTTATTTTGTTGAACAATTAAAATAAAAAAAGTTGAAGTTTATTAGATATAAAGTCGTTTTTCTTTTTCCTCCTTTTTTTTGCATTCTTTATAATTAACTTTAAATTATAATTTAAAAATAAGTAGTAAACTCTTAATTAATTAATCATTTTAATTTTAACTGGCTTATTTTAAGAATACATAAATATGATGGAATGATATTTATGATAATAAATATCATTTCTTTAAAAAAAAAAGAAATGCAATTAAAACGAGAAAAGTTTGATTAAACATAACGAAGAAGTAATGTAACAACTTATGCATGGTTGAAGATTATGCTGTATGGATACAATTGTAACTGTTATCACAGAATGATAACATGAAATGGTATTTGTTATCATGGAATGATAACATATCATTTCATTTAAAACATTTTAATTATAGACAGCATGAGTAATAATAATAATAATATAAGCATAAATAATTATAAGAAGTATTAGTATTGCAACAACAGCGTTTTTTTTTAAAATATTTCCTTATCAGTGGACTAATTTCAGTGCTACAAATTTTACAATTTGTTACAATTTTACTATAAATTTAAAAAGAAACCTTATTAGATTGATATAGAATAAATATTAACTAATAAAAATGATTATCATTGTTTGAATCAATACATTCGAATTCTAATATACTGATCATTCGTGAGAAATGGACAATAAACGGGAAAGTTCGTTGAATAAATTGTCGTGAATTAATTATAATAAAATGATTAGGTACCAAAACATTTCGTACATATTTGTTTACAGCATAGAACTGACGAAAGAAAATTAAGAATTGCTGAAATTTAAATAAAATATTACAACATTATACCATAATAATATTAAAAATAAATATTCATATAAAATATAATTAGAAATGAATATTCTGTCAGCCTGAAATAACATACTTACATTATTAATCTAATGATAATGGCAATACCTAGCGCTACTATTGCACAGGGGAAAAACGATTAATAATATTTTTGAAAATGTTATATAATATTAGTATAATATAATTCATCTACTAATTTAATCATTAATTGGATTATCGAATTACTTAATCACATATATTGAAAATGAAAATATGTACTACAGAAATTAATCTTATTTGTAGGACAAATACCAAAATATTGTTTACAATCTCGTTTATTACTCTCAAAAATTAATTGCTAAAATAATTACAAGAAAGAAATAAAAATTCGAAATTACTAGGAAAATTGAAGGTGTAACATTTAACAGTTATAATATAATAAAATTATTGTATTCTATTTTTTTTTTTTTTGTATGACTAATATCAAAAAAAATCATTTTTTTTCTCACATTACTAGAAATAAATTCTAATAATCCGTCAATTATGCATGAATTTATTAGATGAATTAAAAATTTTAATTCCCTTTATATTTCGAAATATATATTAAATGATAATTTTAAAAATGAATTAAAATAAAAGAGTCAAACCTTCAATAATAGCAATAATAAATTGTATACTGTTGATGCCAATACCTACTTTAAGTTGAAATAAGCACTGTCTAAAATCGTAACGATTCATTTGTGTTAAAATATATCGTGCTCGAGAAGCATCATATTCACCGATCAAACAAAATGCTTCATTACGATCAATTTTTGGATGTTGATAAGTACCGATCAAAGACCAATTCCTACAATAATTTCAAAATCGAATATTCTAGGTGAAAAAATATATATATATATATATATATATATATATAAATATTTATTTATTTATGAAGTTCATACTTTTAATTCTAAAATCATTTTAGAACAATTTGAAATTTATTTAAATCTTATTTTATATTTAGTTTTTCAATCAAATAATCTTCTACAAAATATGTATAATTTTAATATTACTTATTCATTTACATTTTCATTCTTACATAACAAATATCTAAACTAATTTCTGATCTATAATAACTTGGAAATTTCTAGAATAATATATTTGACGATTAATTTATTAATTATTGACAATCTATACAATAATAATAATTCCATCGTTAGAATTTAAAATATATTTAATAAAAATATATATACGCTAAGGTTTAATTAATTAATTAATTATTATTAAAATGCATTATATATCTGTAACAGATTTCAATTCAATTTTTTTTTTTTTTGAAATGGCAGCTAATATTTGATTACCTAGCCGAGATGGTAGCGCTAATAGCACATAGCATTACGGATATTAATGAAAGCACCAAATAAGCAACAAAGAGGTTTACGGTACCACGTTTTGCAGCTACAATACCAACCAAAGCATTTACAATAAATACGATTGATGTCCAAATGGCGGAAAAGTACGGACAATATGGTGATGAATCGTATAAGCACCAAATACCGCCAGCTAGCATAAAAGCTAAAAAATTTTTTTTTCTTTTGTAGAATTTATTCAACAAATAAATTAGTTATCATATAACTGAAATTTTATTTGTTAAGTAATTTAAACACACATAAATCTTCATCAATACTATATAATTTCGCCTCTTCTTTTTCTTTTTATTTTATGCATTCCAAAAAATTTTTAGCATATCATGTATCCTAATTTCAGTTGGTGACACAAAAATGTCAACAAGATTAACAGAATCTAAAATCATTAAAATCCATCCATTATTTAATTGTTTGCACAGTAGTTTTAGTTTATATCAAATTAAAATTTCAAACATCAAAAACTGTGATAGACTTTGATTTATTAATCTAACTACTACCATTTCGATATCATACAAAGATTTACAGATTAAATTTCACGGAAGAAAAAGTTAGTATTTGAATAAAATGACAAAAGAGAAAAGTGAATACTTCTTATAATTTGCATAATATTTAAAATAATTTGTAAGCTTGAAGTCAGTATGCGAACTATTTTGTACTTTATTGGAGAATTTGTTTCACTTTTTTTTAATTGTTATTTTAAAACATACTAATTAAAGAAAATTATTTTTAAAATGACTCTACCCGCAATTATCCCACCAAATAATGCAACTTTGAACATCATATCAGTATCACATCGACGTAATTGTCGTGATTTCCCGCTTTGTTTTTGGGAAATTCCCGTCAAAAATGGTTCCGCATTCGAATGTGATAGCAATGGCGGACTGTACGGCGGTGGATCACGTAAAACAGTTACGGAATAAGGCGAATCATCACAGTTCTAATAAAGTTTTAGTAAAAGGTTCTAATACAGTTCCAATAAAAATTAATGCAAAAAAGCAAAATTCTATTATACCAAAAATTTTTATTAAATTTTTTATGCATATTTTACAATTTTTAAACGGTTAAAATTTGAAGAAAAAAACGTATGAAGTTTTTATGACGCAAAACGTGAACAAATACGTACGCAAACATCTAAAGTTTCAATATACAAAACTTATTAAAAGAAAAAAATAAGCTGAACAAAGAAATTAATTAATGAATTATTTGCTCGTATGATTGACAAAATTTTTACTGCTTCAGCAGTAACTTTTTGCTCTTTTGATTAACTGTTTTTCTATTTAATCGATAACTTAATTTCTTATTAATTAATAATTAATTAATCAACTAATCGAAATGATTAAATCAAAGTTTACTATTAAGTCTTTAAATTACTATTAAATCTTCCTAAACTTTTCAAAAGTGAAAAATTTTCTGAAATATCCTAAATATTAATTGATATGATTAAATTTAGGACTCATTAATCTGAGAAATATAAATTGTTACTTCAATTAATGGTGCTGTTGGTATCGGACATCGAATAATACTGGAATTCGTTTGTTCATTGCTATTTAGCATATTTTCGCATTCGTATGATTTAACAATTTTTTTGTCCATTAACAATTTCTCATTAAGCTTTTAACATTTTGCAAAATGGCAGAAATCCGATCTTCAATTCACGCCTAAAAATTTGAAATTTAATTTCTATTACAAAAAAAAAAAAAAAAAAGAAAGGCAAATCTTTGAGTGAATTAGCGATTACGAATTTAAGCTATCAATCATTTAAAAAAGAAATTGGAATCCAATTTGATTTACTATACTATTTTTAATATCATTTCATTTCATAATTTTTATACTGTGTTGTCATCTAATTCGAACTCATAGCAAATTTATCAGACAGCAATTCTAAACCATTTTAATGTGAATTCATATTTATAACTAAAATTTATATGAATGTAATTTTGGAATTAATAAATTACTTCAAACACTGTAAATAATTAATATTTCATGTTAGTTAAAATTGGATTAATATTATAATTTCCAGCATTTAAAATTGAAATTAAACTGTAAAAATTATTCCTTAAAAATAAAAAATTTTTTCTAATAATAACCAATGAAATTTTTTTTTAAAAATTTTTAAAATTTTTTTTTAAAATTGATTTTATTAGCAAAAATTTAACAGTAAGACAAATAAATATAAATATTATGAAAAGATAAATACTGACAAAGCCATTTTGCTCAAATAAAATCGTATGAGACATATCTATCTGTAGCACTTTAATGTCAAAAAGATTTATTGCGAAAAGCACACATACAAACAGACACATACACACACACACGCACACGTACAACACAGACACGGACACGGACATACACACATACGGGTACACATGCTTACACATACAACGCTCACATACATACACATATATACACGCATAGATATGCACATACACGTACGTACGCATGTAATACATAAACATGCACACGCATGACATACACACATACAAACACACGTAGATACACGCACATACATAGATAACACACATACACTATTGAGCATTGAAACTTTACTGCAGTGTTAGCAAAATCGATAAAATTGAAGTGTATGACATTGAAAACAAGAGTGAAAAAATTTGTTTGTAAAGTTTAAAAAAAAAATTTAGAACAAAAAAAAAAAACGAAAAGTTTTAGACAAAATAAAATGAAAAGTGCAGTAAAGCAATTGAATTTCTTTCTTTCAACAGAAAAAAATTATTTAATTAAAAAAAAAAAAGTGAAAATAATAAGTGAAATGGTGAATGGTGACATTATCGTTGACAGAGGGAGAGAGAGAGAGAGGAGAGAGAGGGAGAGAGAGAGAGGAAGAGAGAAGTAAGAAGAAGGTAAATAAAGATGGATGAAAGATGATAATGAATTACTAGAAGAGTTGTTTGTTAATTAGGAAAAAAAGTAATTGTAGAAAAGTTTTTTTTTTTTTTTTCGATCAAATAGTTTCCCAAACACATACATAGACAGACAGACAGACACACACACATACACATACACACATACAGGGTAGTACTGTTTCATAACATATGTTGACATTTGTATAATGATGGATTTAGTCGAAAATGTGTTAAGTGTCAAAGAATATATGATTTGAAATTTTCAAAAATATTGCGAATTTGAAAAAAAAAAAATGTGTAAAATAATTGTGCACACACACACACACACACACACATACATACATACATACATGCATACATACATTAGTGTGTGTGTGTGTGTGTGTGTGCCTACACATATAAAAATTAACAAAAGTTAAAACAAAAAAAATACGAAACGAAAAGCAATAATAACGATAATGAATTGCAATAAAATTTACGAAATTTTTATTGTTTTAATAAAATGTGAAATTTTCACGGATTTTTTGGATTTTTAATAAAATATAAAAATTTTCAATCAGTTAATATTTTGATTTTTGAATTATAAAATGTCTTTCAGTTTCTTTCATCGTTTTTTCTCTTTTAAAAAAAAATGGTATGTTGATGAGATTTTAATGTGATTGATACAATTACTTTAATAAAATTATTTGATTTTAATTATCAATTAATTTTGGCATATATGCTAAAACAGAAAAATTAATGATGCTAGTTAATTAATATGAGATGAGAGTAGCATACGATAAGTAAATTTAGATTTATGCTATGAAAGGATTAGGATAAAGAATACTTGCAGGACAATTCCCCTATTACTTGTAACGATGGAATGTAGTAAACATTAAGTTAAGCTTAATTATAATTTAAGCTAAAAAAAAAATTTAAGTAAAACATCCAAAAATTTTAATAAACTGAATCAATCTTTAGGAAAAATAATTTTACTATTTCAATTATTTGGGATTTATTAGTGTTGCACTATTGCAGTTTAATAATAAAAAATAATAATAATAGAAAAATGAATGATAGAAATTTTAATAATAAGAACAATAAATTTAATAAAAGAAAAGAAAATTAGCATCATTTAGTGAAAGGAATTCTACTTGTCAATTTATTTCACTTATATTTCTTTAGTAAAAAAAATGCAAATAAAGTTCGATTTATCGATTCTGCCAATACAGAATCAATTTATGATTATAAAACTATAAATAAATGGTATTTAAATTAATTTCTAGTAGAAATTTTTTTTTTATTTAAAAAAAAAAAAAAAAAGAAATTATAGTTTTATGTTTGTTTTGGTGATTTCATTTATTAATTTTTCATATTTTATCATCATTACTCCTTTCCATTTATTATCTTACTTAGTTAACAACTCTTACATTTTTTATAATTCTCCCAAAGAAAAAAAAAAATTAATAAATAAATAAAATAAACATTTGCATTAATTTTTAATAAATATTCATATACAAAAGGAAAAAAGAAAAAACTTTATTACATTTAGAAAGATCAATGATTTTTATTTATCAATATTTGAATGTACATTATTACTGTTAGCTTAATTCTTGAAGTAATCAATTTATATCATTTATTTATGTTCTTTTTTTTTTCTGAAAAAAGTTTAAAAATTTTAAATTTCATTTATATTTTGTATATGCTAATGCTATTATTATTATTTTATACATTGTAATTTTTTTTCTTTTTTTTCCAGAACGTATTCTTTACATTTAAAATGTTTGGTCAAGATTTATTTCTGCTTATAAAATTTATAAGTATCCAAAAAAAAAAAAAATTAAAATAAAATAAATAAAAATATAAATCATTTCTGGACATATTTCCTGGTTATCACTTCTTCTTTTCTTACAGGAAAACGATTGATACAAATATAAATAAATAACTGATGTAGGTCACTAATAATTAATACATTTCATTAGTACTCGTTTCTTTTTTTATTTTTTTCCATTTATCTATTTATCACTTTTCTATTATATAAAGACATTCTGTCTATGTTTTTCAATTTCTTTTCTTTTTTTTTTTTTCAATTGTTCCTTCCAAAACATTTTTTTACACAAAATTTTTTTCCTAAATGATTTTTCTCGTTTTTTTTTGCACTCTTTATAATTTCATTTCTAAAAAATTGAATTGAAAGAAAAAATATATTTTCAGTATAAGAAAAAGAATTGTTTTAGCATCGAAAATGTTATATTTTAATATTTTTTAATTTTTCAAAATTTGTAAAATTATTATTAAACAAAAAATAAAAAAAAAAATCACTGATTAATCGATTATTCATTGACTTCTTACTTCATCAATCAATTTCTTTGATCATTCTATTAGAATAAAAATATTTGATAGAAATGTGAAAAAAGTGAATGAAAGAAAAATAAATATTATCAAAATTGAATTTTTAAAAGTACACGATTAAAGCAAACAGAAACACGGTGCCAAAAAAGAAATTAAAGATAATTTAAATTGTATAATTTGTGTTTTTTTTTTTTTTTTTTTTTTTTTTTTCATATTAGGTAGATAATAATTAATAATTATCAAGGAATATTTTTATTCGCCAATTTCTAAATATTATTTTTAGCTTCATTATAAATAAGTAAATAATTTAATATTAGCATTTGTTAGAAATGAAAGTGTTAAAATTTTCATTTGTAACAATTTGTTATTTGCTGATTAATCGAAAAATTTACAATATATAAGATAAAACTTATCAGTCACATCATAATTTATCATTTTATCAAAAGATACAATAGTTTAAAACAAAAACAAAAAAATTCCAACTTCTATTTAATTAATTAAAAAGAAAGTTTTGTCAAAATAAGAAATAAATGATAGGTTGATCAATCACTGATTGACTTTTTAACTCAAGTTAATTAATTTTTTGTTATTCAATTAGAACAAATAGTACTTGAATATTAACTGTATTGCTTTTTCTTAGCTATTTAAAGTTTTGTATTTGAATATGTTTATGCTTAATAATATTAATAAATTCGATCCTATTATTTAATTTTTGTTTTTTAACTTATTTAAGCATTTCTAATTAATTATTTCCTTAAAATTTCGTTAAAATTTAAAAGTAAATTAAAACATAGCTTCGAAGTTATCCTTAGTTTGCGCAGTATGTCAAAGCATCGATCATTGATTTATATTTATTTGTTTAAAATGACGTAATAAAATCGATCTTTTTTTTTTATTATTTCACTTCTTTTTGTATTTTGCATTTTCATTTTTCATTTCTATCTTTCCTTTAATTTTATTTTAATTACTGAATGAATATGTAATTAAGAAAAAATATAAATAAAATTTATTTATTATTTTTTTACAGTAATAAAAAATTCGACGTTTATCTCAATAATTTTTTTTTTTTTTTTAATTTATGAAATTAAATTTCAAGAATAATTATCGATTAAATATATTGGAATGCTTATCTTTATCTATACTAAAATAGATAACTCATGTTTGTTCGATATTTTTTTTTTTTCTTTCTGGTTTACAATAAATAATGATTGTTAAGTAAAGATTGCTTGCATATCATTTTATCGATGTTAGTGTAACGCGTGGGTAACTTTCATACCCGCAAAATATGTAGAGTTTAACTGAGAGATAAAAAATTGTGAAAAGAAAATTTAATGAGAAAATAAATATCTTAATGAAAAATGAATTCAATAAAAATAAAATAATATTATTTCAATAAAGTTTAATTATTTCATTGTTTTTGAGTTTTAATGTTGCACACATATATATTTTCCTAAAATCATAATTTAATTATTTAGCAAAAATAAATAATTTTTAAAAAATAGAAATAAAAATTGTTGCCATATAATCGACTAATCAATCAATACGAATAAATCGAACAATCAGAATTTAATGAAAATTTTGCATAATTTTTTAATTTATTTCTTTCACAATTTGCTTTTTGAAAGATTCTAACTAGAAAAAAAAAAAAAAAGAAATGATAAACGTTTAGAATGGATTAATCATTTCCTCTATTTGTATTTCTTCAATAAAAATTTAAACTTCAAATATATAGTTTCCAAATGATTTTAATTTTACACTGTTATGGGGGGAGGGAAAAAAAAAACAAATCATTAAATAAATAAAATGGATGATATAAATTTGAAATTGTTAGCTTAACTATTTCAATAAATAATTTAATAGAATTTTTAAAAAAAAAATCTAAATGAATTAGATAAAAATAAAATCAGTAGAAAAGAATTTGTATGATTTTTAAAATCAAAATATCTTTGATTTTAAAAAGTTAATTCTATCTATTCCAATTAGAAACAAGAAAAAAAAAGAATGAAATAAAAATTTTTTTCCTTATACAATTATAAATAATTTGGGAGAAAAAAAAAAAAAAAGGCAGTAATAATTAGAAATAATTTTTTATCATTCTTTCTTAAATTGTATTAGCAATTAATCGAAATTTTGTTATTTTTACAACTATTCGTTTTTAATTTCTCTTTAATTTCTAATTTCTTTTCCTTCATTATTAATTTCATTTTTGTTTTCTATGCAATTAAATTTCATTCCAATTTTTATTATCAAAGGAAATATTTAGGTTTCAATTTAAAAAAAAAATTTAAAAAAATGAAATGAAATGTTTATTTGAGTTTGATATGATAGAAAAAAAACAAATCGAATGGATTTTTTTTCTCGTTTTTATACTTTATTTTTTATCACTTCAATTTTCTTCTTTTATTGAAATATTATTTTAACATATTTTAATACTATGAAACCAATCAATTGTCGATTGAGTTATTTAATAGAATGTAATCAATAATTGCAACTGAAGTAATGAAACTTCTCTCAACATAGGTAATGAGAAAAAAGCTTATGCAATTTAACTTTTACTAAAGGATTATAAAGTAAAAGTTGTTAGTAAAAGTTATTTTTATTGATTGAATTTCTTAAAATTTTTATAACAACCAAGTAATGTTTAATTTTACATCGAGAAGTTTTAATTTTTTATCACTTTTTTATCACTCTTTTCTGTCTTTCTCTTAGTAATTAACTGATTTGAAAAAAAAAAAAAAAAAAAACTTTGATTCGTTATTTAGGATAAAAATTTAATTTTAAATCACATTCTTTCCCTTTTCGTTCCTCCATTCCTATTCTACAAACAATTGCTAAGGTATAAGTTGTTGAAAATCTATCAAAATTAAATTTCGGTTTTGAAATTAAAATTCGAGAAAAATATTTTACTTGTCGCAAAATTCAATAAGGCGACACTAATTGATGCATCAAGCAATGAATTGTATTCCTGTGACATCCTATAATTTCATTTCAGTTGAAATAAAAGTATTGATTAAACAAAACAAACAATGGAAATATAAAAATGAAAATGGAATAAATTGATTAATGAAATTAGATCTGTCACAAATTATTCCTTTCTCAATTATAAAACTATATTTAAGTATTTTTTGAATAATTCATTATTTAGTTATGATTTTGTTATTATTTCAGTATGATTTTGAGGATTACTGGTAATGATGATAAAATCGAAAGCTAACATAGAGTAGTGCAGAAGAAAATTTAAAAAAAAAAGTTGAAATTTTAAAAGAATAAGAATTTGTATTTTATTTATCACAAAATCCGGTAATAAGAAGAAAAAAAATTCTAAAAATAATAAGCATTTCTGTTTCACTGATTGGATAAGAAGGCATTGATTGATATAAAAAGCAATGAAATTACCTTTGATAAAACGTAATTAATCAATTAATTAAAGCATTCAACTTTTACAGGTATTTTCTTACATTGCATCGTTTATTATTTAATTTAAGTGATGATTAATGCTATTAAGCAATTAATCAATGATTGAAATTTGTAATTTTGTAGTGCTTTAACTGATAAAATGAGAAATACAAAAACGGTTGTTTAATTAATTAGAAAATATTTTCACTCAAATTCATCAAATATATCCTTGTGCACTCATTCCATCGTCAACGAAAAATTATTTATACATTTATCTAAAAGTTTTAACACAGGAGGGAACAAAATTAATGTCGAGTTTTCTGTTTAAAAAAAAAAAAAAAAAAAAAAAAGAAATTTAAGCTTAAAAATCAATAGATGAAATTAATTAATACAACCAAAAAATATTACAATTAATTGAAGTTAATTAATGCATTTAAAAAATGATAGAAGTAATACCCATAAAATACTAAAATTTAATTAAATGATTAGAAAAATACAATATATATATATATATATATTATTACTTTCATGAATAGCTTCACTTATCGATAAGCAATATATTTTAATTATGCGACTTTTGTAGAATTTCTTCAAAAAATTTTTATTCATCGAATTGACTTAGTATTAATTTCAAATATATTATTAATTTGAATATATTTTTTTTTTTCTCCAAGTTTTTTCCAACAGATTTATATATTTCTGTAAAAATCTTCCAATACTATGACAATAAAATCAATTTTTATTTTATAGATAAAATTGATTTGCACTTTATACTACAATTTTTCATAGTACAATGTATTTCATATTTTTATAGTATATGTTTGTTAGGCCTTATTCTCGAACAGGGACATGTCATTACATCAAATTTCTAATGTGCAACAGGTTTTAACTTTAGAACCTTCGAGACAAACATAGCAATCATCGCTACAAAATGCTTTTCTCGTCAAAACTTATTCCTATCCCACCTTATTATTAAATGTGAAATCAATTATGCATTTCTCATTCAGTGATAGAAATACGTGAAACAAGCATAATCTTTGAAAAATTTGATGAAATTACAATTTCAAATTAATAATTATCTGAATTCGGTTTTCATTTAATAATAATTTTTTGTTAATTTCTCAATTCTCCGAGCAATTTTCTATCATTGCTAGCACGAAGTTAAGTCAAAAAATAAATGAACCATCCAGAAAAAAAGAAGTAAATACAGAATTTTGCATTAAAAGCAAATAATTTAGAAATCTCTGAATTGCCTGAAATTCTGCATTGAAAAGAGAATTTCAGAGTCTGACCCAAATTTTTGCTTTAAAGAGATATAGTCCTGAATTCTACATTAACAGTTTTTAAAATTTTAGAAATAGACCAGAAAAGAGCCAATTCAAGTATCTATTGATGGTCCAGAAATTTATATTAGGAAAAGATTGTCCGGAATTCTTTATCAAAATAGTCATAATAGCATTTATAACTATGATTACCGGAAATGAAAGAAAAACAGGAAGAGAGTATCGGAAAAAAAAAATTTTTCATATTAATTCGCTTTAAAAGAAATACAACAAATGTTAAAATTAAACTATAATTGCTTTCTATCATACAAATCGCTAAGTGTTTGCAAATTTGCCAATGGCGGAAACTTTTTTTTTTAAATATTATTGATAAAAAAAATAAATGGATGAGAGATTGCGCTAATGTTCGGTTACATCAATTTGTTTGACATGCATTTCCCGTAGGAAATCATTTCGATGAGATATAATAGTGAGAATGAATTCTTCACATATAATTTTCTTCTCATATATGATTTAAATTACATCTAATCGTTTATTGTAATAAATTTTCACTTTCTTTACTGAAACAAAAATTCAGAAAATAAAAGTGTAAAGATCAAATATACAATTTACATTTGTATTAGCTTTCAGCTTGTATCTTCCCATTCTTCTTTTATCAATATATTAACCAATTAATTTGATAGTTTCATATTTTTTTTAAAATAATTTTTAAATCTCATGATGACCTCTTCCAATTCAATCTAAAATAAAATCGATGATAGTATTTAAATATGCGATTCCAGATGCATCACCGATATTTTATACAATCATCAGAAAGTATACATTTTATTTTAAATGTCACATAACTGCATTTAAAGTTCATAGCCTAGAAATAGACAAAGTATTATTTATTATTGGTATGATAAGTTTCTTTCAATCAGTTGTTTTATTATTTTTTATCAATAAATTGCTTTCAATCGTAAATTACTTTTAGTAATTACTTTCATAAATTACTTTCGATAAGTTACTTTCAAGCAATTCGCAATGAGTCAAAATGTTTTTGCTTTACGAAGTTACTTCACGAAGATTTACGATGCACATTCATAAATAATTACATAACATTTTCATCATCAAACATTAGAATTAAACAATTACATTAAATAGTTAAAAGAAAAATGTGCGCTAAAATGTCATTTAAAAGCAAAAAGTTTTGTTAAACATTAAGCAAAAAATGATTTGACACATTTAAACCATAGAAAATTATATTTTAACTTTTTCGCTAACAATAATCAATGAATATCAAACAAAAAAATTAAGTTAAATTAGCATTAGTTTGAAAAAAAAAAAAAAAAATCAATATGAACAAATCTCGCAGAGGACAATAAATTATCACATAATATACACATTTATTCTTTTCTAATAACACATTTATCTAATTTGACATTCAAATTAAAAAAAAAAATAACAATGATTTTTTTTTTTTTTTTGGAAGAAACTTTGTAAAAATTTATATGCAGCTTTTTTAATTTCATTTTTTAATGCTTTCTGTATTAGGATAGGAATTTAACAATAATTTAAATAACTGTTATATAATTTGAGATCATATAAATTAAAGATCGTTTTTTTTTTTATTTTCAAGTAAATATGTTTCTTTATTTGAATTTAATTCAAGTGATTTTAATCCATTTTATTTCTGTTTGTTAATCATCGGCACACAACTTTGTTTGTTTATTTTTTCAGCTTAGTGATAACAGTACAATAATGATTCATCCGGAAATAGCAACAGCTCATTCCGGATATTTCCGTCGACAATATTTAAAGGAAATGAAAGCACAAAAGAAACCTGTGACATTGTTCATCGATCACCTCATCAATTATTTTCTTCTATCAGTGGTATCCTACCATGTTCATTGGCTGAAATTCCTGAACTTCTAGCCTTGTGCTGTAAACTTCAGGTCCGTTTTATCAAAAAAAAAAAAAAAAAATGTTATTGGAGTAAGAATTTATAAATATGAAAAATACTGAATGCTCATTTTAATAGGTACCATCAATGAGAGCAATAATTGAAAAATTTATCATTCAAAAAGCAGCTGATCATAACTGTTTATTGGATTGTTGGAATATAAGTTGTCATCGACAATTTGACTTATCACTTCGAGCAAAAGATTTTGTGCTCAGTTATGTGATGCGTTCTTTGGAAGAAGTATGCCAAATCCAAAAGTTATACTTATATTTTGAAAGAATTATTGATTATTTCACATGAAATGTTATTTATTTGTCCCATCTCTCTGCCTCCTTTTTCATTTGAGGCAGTTTTGGATCTACGATTTGCGCAACTGGATCAAGCAGCTGTGGAAGAGTTACTGAAACGTGACAATTTACCGGTCCGTTCGGAATGTGACGTTCTACGTATCGCTTTGATGTATTATTTTCGTCGTGAAGGACATGTGAATATGCAAAGTTTGCTGAATGTTATTCGATACAATTGTGGTAATGAAACACTCATGCGGGTATGTAATAAAATAATAAGGAATATTTTAAATTATTAATACTTACTGATAAAATTATTTACATCACTAATTTAGTAAACAATCGGAAAAAAGTTTTCGAAATACTGTCATCTTATACAGAAATAATTTAAATTTTTTGAAAAACTTTGGAGCTTTTCATAAATTATAAAAAAATCAAATTTCAGATGCATCAAGATATTCAATGTATAGATGATGAGGAGTTGCGCTTTTGTTTCGAGCAAAATTGCGCTTATGGATTGTGGCAAAGTGAACGTCGTCTATATAATCAGAATATATGGCCTATAACAGATGCGCCATCGCCACGCAGAAATCCAAATGTTGACTGCAACTGGATTAATGCGCAATTTTACACTTTGGTACGGGTTTGTTTCTTGATCAATTGTTTTAATTGATTGGATTTTTAGGATTTCGTTCTTAAACTTTTGAGCTTTACTGATTTTTAGCTCCAGCCTGCTACTGCATCTTCTCGATAGATTGGGCATTTAATTCATGCGGCGTCTCTCATTTTAATTCATGTCGCATCATTCATCAATTAAATATTTATGTATTTCAGTATTAAATAAAATTCATGGCATTATTACAGTGTTACTTTATGCAGATCATAAAGCAATCAGTGTTAAATGAATTGTGAATTACAGAAAGAAGGAGAAATGATAATCTAAAGATGAAATGATAATCGTTTAAGTTAATAGGTTAAAGGCCAATACGTGGTACTGTAGTCACAATACTTCGGCAGGATTATCAATTTTGATAACCCAAGAATTCCGAAAGAACTGGCGACAGCTTAAGATTTCAGCAATTAATTTTTTGAAAGAGATTTATTCGTAGAAAATTGAAAGAAGTTTATTTGAAAAGTTTCCAGGCATTAACAAATTAATGCAAGAAGGATAAACAGAGAAGCAAGAAAGTTCTTCGGGATAACTATCTCAATTCAAGTTTATCGAAAAGCAGCACACAATAACGGCTTGAAATGAGGAGAAAGACAACAAAACAAAATTTAAAATTCCTAAAAAACAAAGAATATCTTAGATATGTTTAAATGAGGACACTGCATGCTACGATGAAAACGCAACGATATTTGTGCAAAATTTACAATAAAAAAAAAGTGAAATTTTAGTATCGAAACTTATTGCATTCGCTTCATTAACATACAGCGCCAACCTAAATTTTATCTATTTTAAGACAACATTTCCTATTTTTTTTTTTTTTTTTTTTTTGTAAAATTGTTCATATATTCTTCAAATTTCATTTCAGTTAACACTTCCATTTTAAAATGAAACAGTACGTCAGAAAAATGACACAACTAATATAAAGCATTGTTACAAATAATGTATTGCAACACCATCAAAAAACTTCCTAAATAGTAGAAATTTTTAACTCTTAAAATTTTGCAACTAACGGTGCATAACGTTGGCAGGAAATGATGCCATAAAATTGTTTCACAATTTCACAAAAAAAAAAAAAAATGGGAAAAACAACAGAATGTTGCATCTTGGAAAGAAATTTGATAATGAGAAGCAAAACCAAATCAGAAAGACAATTGTGACAGTGCATAGAGATCACAAAACTTTTCCGAACAGGATAAAATGATCGTTGTTAGAGAACTTCATTCAATTTCCAATGTTGCTTGAAGGCCATCAAAAAATCTGGCCTTTTGATCAGAACGAATCAACACCACTTAATACATCAATTTAAAAGAAAGAACAAAATCTCTAACTTTTATCTGCATGTCATTTAGGAAACAAAGTGTCTTGGTATGGAGTAGATATAGGAGAATTAGTACGTCTCAATGAAGCTTAACAATAAAATAACGATATAAAACTTTTGCTTACTTGCAGAATCGAAAAAATCTCGTCGAGCTCCATCACGTATAAAATTTTCTACAACTTTTTGCATTGCACGTCCAATAAAACTGAAAATATTCTCAAATTTCAGTTGTTTTCAGCATTTTATACGCTTATTGTAATTAGTATTAACTTCTGCTCACAAAAAAATGATAAACATCAAACTAAGAAAATTTTTAACAGACAGAAGCTAAAAATTAGTGCCAAAATCAGAAATCAGCTTTGAATGAATGTTTCAGACCTTCCAAGTATTCCTTTTTATCTTCCAATAACAATACTACCATAATTCCGCAATAAAAAAAGTTGAAAAGCAGATGCAAACTGTCTGCTTACCTTTTCTGATTGCTGTCTTCATAATCGGTATTTGCTGGCATAGAACCAGTTATCAGAAACCAACCAGTATTTTCACCACTCATAGGTACAGCAACAAATAATGGTCGATTAGCACGATTTTTTGAATGACTCTGAAAATTTTGAAGAAAGATCAGACAAAAACCTAGTCCAATTCAGAAAAAATCGATTTAAATTTGGAAAATAATTTAAAAACGAGGAAATTGCAATTGATCAACAGCGTCTAAACCGCTTCTGATATTTCGCCAACTAAACTAACGAAAAATTTCACTCTTTTGCAGTAAAGTTTCATGATAAATGATCCTATAGTTGTTAGAATAGTGAAAAATTCCTTATATATCATCGAATATAAAACGAACAGGATATAAAAACTTAATGAGTTAAAAATAATGATTTTACTCAAACAACAGTTTATGCACCAGATACTATACAAACTATAAAAAATACTGCTGAAAATCTTACTGAAACAGTGAATGCTCGAAGAACATAATGAACAAATATATAAAGAAAATGTCTGCAATGTAAAATACGAGCTTCATCTTCCTGAAAAGCAATAGGAAAGCGCTGATTTCAGCAAAAAAATAGGAAATTTTCAAAACCAGTGATTATTAAACAAGGAATTTGACTAGCCAAATCAAACTTTATTCATCAGAAATTCGAATCCTTTTTTCCAAATTAGATGATACCTGAGGAAGGCAGAGAAGATAGAAAGATCCAACAGAAACAATAAGGCTTTGACTGATTGACATAAAAACGAGATTTACAAGACTGGTCAAACAACTTTTGTATGATTCAATTGCTTTTGACAGTGGTGTCTTATCCCCTCCTGAAAAAGCTAATGGATTCAGCAATTTCACTGAGGATTTAAAAAATAAGGAATCGCGCTATCACCTATAATTTGAAACTTTGAAGCTTAATTACAAACGAAATTCAGTTAGAAATAATAATTTGCCTTCTCTATCTCCTATAAAATCAATTCAAAATGAATATATATATATATATATAAGACAAAAAAAAAGAAAGACCGTCTATGAATTTCTGCAAGATTTCTTGTGCACCAATAAAACGATCGTAGGGCGATTCAACTTCGACAATTCCATAACTTATACGTCCCGCAATGGCCCGCGCAAAATCACATGAATTGTACCTAGAACTTCCTTATTTTCTTTCTCAAGTTTTTATACTAAAATAACAAGTCACCATAACAATCTAGACCATAAAGATTAAGAAAATCAGAAGTGAATTTTCATAGTTTAAATAAACGCGGACCTTTCAACTTATGCTGCCATCATGTACCTAGTGATAGCAAACTCATTTTAACACTATCACAAACTTCAAAATCCCGAGATATTTCCGTCTCAAGACATTTCACACTGATTCTAATGGATGTGAAACACAATACTAGCAAAAGTTTAACCTCCGATCTCTTTTAATGATGTTTGAGTGATTTTGATTAATAAAGCGTACAATATCAAGTGAACAATTTATAAGAATATGAAACGAAATGAATGAAATGAACGCAATGAAATGAAAAAATTTATAGCATTAGAACTAACTAGCTTAAATTCTTACTTTTCACTATATTCTTACCTGCTGCTATATCCGATGTGAGCTGCAAAAGATGCAAATTCATCATCCATGTGCTTATATATGTGACGAAATATGGCATCTTTCCTTTCCGATGTTAGCGCACTGTACACTTGATGACTTTCTTCCAGTGTTATCCTAAAAATGAATTTTATATTTGCTGATGTATCGGGTATACTATATAATCGACATGTACTTTCTGGAAAAAAAAAAAAACCAATTTAATGTTACTGTAATAGAAAAACTGGAGCATTCCCAAACACTGCATTCTGCAATCGTAGTGATCAATCAAACTGAATCCGATGATACTGATGGCTCAAGTTCATAAGTTACTATTAATTTTAATGTATGTTCTTTGTATACATTGATTCCTCAGAAGTTGCTTTTCCTCAGATGAACAAAATTTCGTGATATCTGAAGTCTTTACAAATGCAAATATGCAAAAGGATGCAATTTACTTACTCAAGCTCAGCCAGCAATGCCTTCATTATAAGAGCACCACTTTGTTGCCACATTTGCGTTAAACAAAAGAAAAAATCGTTATGCACCATGCTTGTATATAATGACCAATGTGCATATAACGGCAACATGATCCTGAAATTGTAATTCTTCAGATTATCTACTCAGACATAATTTTCCAAAGATAAGATTAACACTTTTCAAAATTCCATGAAATAAAGTAAATACATTCTCAAAAAAAAAAAATCAAATCAACGTCTTATTGAATTTCTTAATTAAAATTCTTCACTAAATATTACGCTTATAACTGCAAGCAAAACAAAATATCTTCCAAAGCCCAGAAACTCATGACATTTGTCCCATAATATGAAATAATCTTTGGAACTATCAAGCTTATCCTCCAAATGGTACTCATTAGCGCTTGATTGAAAAATAAGTTGCAGAAAAGTTTGTGAACCAAAGATAAAACTAATTTAATTTTCCATCTGGATAAAATTCCATCATGAATACTCTTAAAGAAAGTGAAATTATTATTTTTGCTTAATAGCTCATAGTGTTATTAGACAAAAGAGAATTAGCATACTCATCATCGAACTTCAGCCGAAGGATGTCATCACCTCGTACAATATCCGATCCATCTGGACAAAATTTCATCCTGAATGCTCTTAAACGGTCGAAGCATACGGTCGTATAGCAATCATGACTTATTAAATACTCTACAAGCTGACTACTTATTCCAACTACTGCTGCCCACATCATTTCGACTGTAGTTCGACCAACGGAATGTGCTACTTCCAACATCAGCACAGCACTCTAAAAGTAGATGATGGATTTTAGAACCAATTTAGATGGTTATGAATTAATTAACAACTATTGCACTTTTCACCAAATTTCAAATTATCAAATAGGTTCATAAATTTCAAACCTTACAACTACAGCTTTAATCAACGCATACATAAACACTAAATTAAAAAAAAAAAGAAATGATAAATGATGGTGGTAAAGCAGTGGTAAATATAAAAACTTCAACTTCCCATTTACTAAAAACAATAACTACAAAAAATTAAGCGTTAAAATATGAAAAGTCGTAAGAAGGAACTAACCGACGGACTATACCACGAATTCTCGTGGTATTTCCATAAAACATCCTCGCGATGTCTTTTAAGTTCCATCCGTCGTCGCCGCTTCGCTTCTCGTCTCCCAACAGAATCGGCAACATCACTGACCCTCCTTCTGCGCCTATTAGTAGAGTCTTCTAATTCTTCGGCATCATCAGTTTGCTCCGCATCATCATCAACATCACTTTTTTCCATTTCATCTTCCCCATCACTTGAACTTCTTGCAATTTCTAACTGCTCACTTACCGATGCTATAAAATCAAAAAATTGAGAGTCATTAAATATATATGTACATATAAACATGGTACATATACAGCAAATATTGAATTTTAACATGGAAAACTTTTAGTGGCCAGAACATCAGAAAAATGAAACTTAAATAAACTAACATAGAAAAATCAAAAATTCGGAAAGAAATTTATTACTTCGACTTTCACTAACTTCATCGTCGTCCAACTGCTCTGTCCTTTCGAAAATATCCCTCTCATTACTTCCATCCATCCCAGCTTCATCTTCATCTCCACTTTCTTCAGAAGATGAACTATCTGAGACTTCGACATCACAGATGTTTGGAATGTCTAGCTGCTCCCATTCATCCCTACTCACAATTAGACGGATATTATCCTCATAATAAACCTATAAACAATCTTGTAAGAAAATGAACTGTCTATAAATTATGTGTCATACAGATATTAAAAGCATAACTCATTTAGTTAAAAAAGGGAATTATATCAGAGCTTAAGATGATGTTAGTGGAAGAAATGTTTTTCTAGCATCTTAAGTTATAATATAATTACCCTTATGTTTTCACGAAATCCCATTAAATAAAAGTAAGTTTTTGAACAATAAAGTATCGAGAAAGTTATTATAAGCTAGATTTCATAGTATCTTTTATATATCAATTAAAAAGTGGCTTTTTTCCTACCAATCGATAAAGTTTCAATTTTTCAGCACTTCTCATCACGATTTCTAAACAACTTACATTTGATAAATCCAATGGTCGTCTGGAATCAATCACGTATAATGTCATACCAGATCGAAGATACGGAATCAATGGTTCTGTAGCACCACAGTTCAAGAGCACAACAGAATGTGCCTGTTCTCCATGTTCTATAAGTGCTGTCCGAAGACCTTCCCATCCATCTACTGGCACCAGCGTATAAGCGACATCATCTGCCGCAAATAAATCCTAGGATTTTTTTTTTTTAATTTTAAAAATATCATTCAGTAGATTTTGCATGTGAACTGAAATCAAGATGACTTGATTAAATCAATTTAATTAAATTACTCAATCTAACAGTAGTGCGCCATAATAGTTCCATAGTTAATGATCATGTCTGAGATACAAAGTGATACTTTTGCTTTAGCGATATTTGTATCAATAAAAGCAGTAGGATTGTCAAAGCTTATTAAGTTAAGACCTTTAGGCTTTCTAAGAGAATTCCACAATATAATTTAAAATATTCATTTTTCTTTCCACCTAAAGGCAAATTATAACCATATTAATTTAATTTCGACAACATGCATGAGAAATGAAATCAAGTTTAGAGCAATACCTTTGAAGTAGTATTCGACTTTTTGCATTAATAAATAAGAATCGATCAATTATTAATTACTTACCAACAATATTTGTGTAGCGCAGACAGCATCAGCATCGACATTTGCTATAATGAGCACATGCTGAAAGAAAAAAAAAAGTATTATTTAAGTAACACAACAATATTTAATTAGTCATTTCTTGATATTATTAAGACTTACATAAAACTCACAAATTTCATGTTATAAATTTTTATTGATATTTTTATATGAACTACAAAATCTCTAAAATTACACCTTAACCTTTCCATAATAAACTTTTGCAATACTGTATTCTTGTAGAAAGTACATTTATTTATATTTATTCTAGACTTCCTGAAATCTACTTTAGTTTTTAGTCCCGTCTCTCTCTCTTTCCTTCTCTCCATCTCCTACTGCTTCTTTTCATACTAAGTTTATTTGCTACTGCTCGGAAAGAATAAGAAAAGAAGAAAAAAAAAAAGGAACTAACATCTCGCTTAATTATACCATAAAAAAACTGCCTAAAATTTTCATACACAATCATATTTAAAACAATATCACTTTACGTAGCTGCGATTAAAATTTATCTGAAAGTACAAAAGAATACTGTATACAATAATTTAATCAATTGAAGTCTTAATTGCGCTGAATTAAATGATATATTCTGATTGGTTATTTGATATAAACTGACATGAATGAATTTAACAATCATACAAAGATAGAATAAAAGATACATAAAAGAGAATAGAAGGATATTTTAGAAATAATTGAGAAATACCACACTACTGAAAATTTCGAAAATTTTTAAAATCTTTTCAATTCAAAATTAAAATCAAAGATCAATCCTCCATTATATCATTTTACTCAAGCAATAACATGCTTTCCAGCATTTTTTCCTTTCTTTACCCACAAACAACTTATATTTTTTAAAGCACTCTAGATTTATTTAATTTTTTTAAGAAAAAAAATTTTTTATAATTCCAAAATAATACTGAGATAAAGAGATGATGAGACTAAAGATAAATTTTTACACATGAAATATTAAGAACCAACGCTAATCAATCCGATATTTCAAAAATTTTTCACAAATAATTGCTAATAGTAATAGTATACGATGATAATATTGAAATCTGAGAAACAGCAACGCTACGAATGAAAAGGTAAAAATCCCATATCTTCTCTAAAGCACCAAATTTTAATTTAAATCTATTAGATGTACGGGACTGAAAATCAAAATAGCGCAACGTGAGGAGAACCGTGTGGTTTTGATTCAAGTCGCGATTCGATTGAATTTCTTTGATTTTACGCTCACGTGACATTCGGCGTTTGACATTTGACCTTTGCTAGTTGCGCTAACTATGATTCTTTTGTTGATACTAAGACTCCTTTTTTTTTTTATCACAAATCAAAATTTTGCAAATAATAAGCTGACGAGAGATGTATGGAATTATTGTTAACCTAAAGAATACTTATTTGTCACTTTGGCTTCCCTTCTCGTTATTTTGGTTGGTAGGTTGACCACTGTTTCTATTTTTAAATGAGCTTTTTTAAAGTTTTTTTTTTTTCACTTCACATCACTCTTATGTGTTACATCGTGTTAATCTATAGCCTACTTATTTCTTATTTTAATTTAGCATTGTTATTTTGTTCTGTTTGACATTGTTATTGTGTTCTGACAAAATTCATTTTTAATGCTGTATTTAATTTCCTGCCTTGATTAATTGATAGTTACTTTTTAAATATGTGTTGTTTATAGTAGGATGCTTACGAAGACATATTTTTTCTTGCCGGAAATATTGTAATATAGGTTTTAAATGTAATTTATAGATAAACTTTGGAGTTAGACGTAAAGAGATGCAGTGTGATGATGTTACGTGGAATATTCTCAACAAGGGAATGTGCTCCTTTAAAACAAGGTAAATATCGTTGCTCGAATTATTTCTCTTTTTTTGTATTATTTGGAACTTATACTTGCGGTATTTTTTGGCAGGAATTAAAATTTTATCCTTCAGAAAAAAGTCGCGATTTTTTTTCTCCTTTGGCAAAAGGACTCAAAAATTACTTTCTTTAGGCGCTATTTCAATTCTTTCCTCTTTCAATTCTTTCCATTTTTTTCCATTTTGATGTGTTCACTGAAATTTGAAATGTTTTTATAACATTTTCCAGGATAAAAACGCAGAAGTTTTGTCGCAATGAGTACAATTTAACGGGTCTGTGTAATCGAGCATCATGTCCGTTAGCTAACAGTCAGTATGCTACGGTTCGGGAGGAGAAAGGTACTTTTTGTTTTATAAAAATTTATGTGTTGAATAAGGATTGATTGAGATACGATACATTTCAAAGTTGAACATGTCTGAGTGGAAAAATCTGTTGGCTTCAGCAACTCGTTATTTGAACAGAATATATGAATATTGAAAGTAGTCAGTATGGAGAATAGATAGGTTTTTTTTTTTTTTTTTTTGGTTTCAAGTTGTATAAAAAGAAAGGAAGGGAGTAACGGAAGACCACATTCAGTTTAAAAATGTAGTAACTATAATGGGAAGGATGGAAGAGTAGATATTTTTTATTATTCCAGTTAGGATATGTAACTGTTTCAGGTATATGTTATCTATATATGAAGGTAATTGAAAGAAGTCACTATCCACGAAGACTTTGGGAACGGATCAAATTATCTCGGAATATGACTCAAGCTGTTAGACAGATTGGTGATGCATTACTCCATTGGTCTCAATATGTTAGACATAAATGCAAGGCACGTCTAATTCGCATACATCAATATTTGATCAGGATGAGGAAGATGAAGCTTCGAGAAAGGTTTCTATTTTTTAATCTTTATTTTCATATTAGAAAGATTCCTACATATTTTCTTACGTAGCAAACTTGACATATATTATTTACCATTCATCTACATTTTTTCAGATTAAACTAACAAGCAAATTTATTAAAAAAAAGACTTTGATACATGTAGTTAGTCTAAAACTGTGTATAGTTAGTCTTACATATGCATTACACAGCATGCATCAGTATGCATTGCTATCAAAATAGTAAAGTACTTTAAATACTTTAAGCCAGTCTTAAAATTAATTTTTTTGTTGATCTGAACCTCAAAATACTCCAAATATTTGTTAACTTTCTAAAACTTTTTCACTGAAATTTTAATTAAATTTTTGTCTTGTAGACAACAAAAAATTATCCCAATACAGCGAAAGATTGAAAGACGCGAAGTAAGACGAGAAGAAAAGGCACTGATTGCTGCTAAATTGGACACAGCTATAGAAAAGGAATTACTGAACCGTCTGCGTGAAGGAACTTATGGCGAAATCTATAATTTCAGGTTATCAAACATCGTCTTTGTGTATACTTATTTTTTGTGTTCTTTATTTTTTGCTTGATAAGTATATGTGGTGGACTAATTGCTCTAATTTATATTTCTCAGCATTTTAAAGTATTCATTAATTTTACTCACTAAGTATAGCAGATTTTAGCAAGTAATTTTAGGCAAGATGCATTCAATCGTGTACTTGATGAAGAGGAGGAAATAGATGCAGAATTCGATCGCGAAGTTGAAATTGAAGAGGTCAATCAGGTTAGGATTTTCTACATTTCTGTAATTTTTCTCGTATTACTTTACAATAATACCTCTGATTTGTTTTCCTTTTTTTACTAATGATATTCAGGGTACTGGAGTTCGCGAATATATTGCTGATTTCGAAGAATCATCTGACGAAGATGGTGATGAAGATATAGAAGATGCAGGAGGAAATAACCATTGGGATGAGAATGAAACTAGTGGTGAAGATGATGAGATGAATGAAAGTGAGGAGGATGAGGAAAGCCCTGTGGAGGACGAAGATGAATCGAGCGGGGAAAATGAAAAACAACCGGTGAATACAGTATGTTTCGTACTACAAATTACTTTACAATTACTTTACAGCAATGGCTTTGTTTATCCTTACAAAGGATATTCATTGTTAATTGATTCATACAATTACATTACCTTCAAATACAATATATGGAGAGACATTCGTTACGTACGGACAGTGCTACTTCCGTACTTTAAGATTGGTGGGAGGTATGATACGTACTTTCATTGCGAAATTTTGCAGCAGAAAAAGAAACGAGTGAGGTGGAAGGAGTTAAAGGACAAGAAGGCAAAACGTGAGCCTGTTAAGAGGCGTCTACGCCAGGTACTCGAAATCGAATACGAAAACGAAGGACCAGTTAGGAGTAAACAAAAGCTATAAAATTTATAAAATTTCGTTGTTACAGCGTAACGATGTGTTCCGTGAAATAAATTGTTTTATTATGATCATTTCCCTCTTAATTTTGTTGTCTGAAATTGGATTGCGTAATCATTGCCTTTCGTCTTTTTACGAGCAGCAACGGAACAAGATGCCATTACAATATATCAACTACTTCATTACGAAGTGTTAGATGATTGGAATGCTTTTGAATAATCATCGGGAAGTAATCTTCAAAAAACCAACAGTCTAGATGTTGTTAAGATTTGTGGCAATTAGGAATTTCAAATATTCATTTTATGGCGACGCTGAACCATTATTCATTAGAATCAGTCATCTGAGAATTTAAAACTATGACAAGTGCGAAATTATAGTTTTTCATTTAAACAAATCGGCTAGGAGAAAAGAATCGTTTATTTTCTGTATAAGGAGAAGAGTGAAGAAAAATAATTGCATATGACACAAAAATATTAAGCCCGCATTTTTCTTTTTCAAATATACTGTAGTACAAGCATAGTAGGCAAATTATTTAGATTCGGAACATACGCGATCTCTGGTAATGAATTTAAGTCCGCCCTCTTCATCTACTTGATAATTTTAAGTAATTCCTTAGCATAGAGATTTTTAAGAGTGTTTCAAGCACAAAGTTCCACTCAGTATTAAAAAATGTTCCAATATGAAACAAGAATGTGGCATAAAGTCTAGAATTGATGAGAGATTTCGGATTTTACTTAAATCTAGTTGAAGAAAAGAATCCCATATAAGAAATAAGCACAACTGGAACAAAAAATAAGGCACTGTTCCTTTAATTATTAAACTATAACATTAGATAGACATGGAAAAACATTTGCCGATATTAATATTTGATGATGAAGTTGCGCAATAATTTCATAATTATTACAAATGACGATTTAAGTGGTCAATATTCGTTCTTTTTAAGTAATTGATCCAAAAGCTGTAGCGGTCGATGAAGTTGTAGCTCAACCCAACATGGTGTTTCCTTAATTGAAGTACGATTGTAACCAACGCCCCAACCTTTCACAAATGATATTGCTATTATGCAACATACCTAAACGAAACGACAAAAATTACTCTTTCTGAGAAAAAGACATCACATTTGTCGATGATAACCTCCAAAAAAAAAGAAATTGTTTTTCATGTTTTTCACCGTTTTTACAATTTTTCTATCCATTACTATCGGAATACCGGAAACGTATACCCATCTGAACATAGTAAGTCTCTCAGAAATCAATTACTTCATTGGAGAAGTGGTATTTATTAAAGATAATATTTTATATTTTGTATAAAATAATACATTATACAAAATATAAAATGCTTACTCGTCTCAAATCATCAACGCCTGTTCCAACATGTTCAATTAGTGACGATGCTATATTAGCTGGAGGAAGATAGCCAGCAACTGCTGCAGCTTGTGCTACAACAGCCAATCGAGCAGATTTACTCTGATGCTCCATTTCCGCAAAAGCCCAACGTAAATCAAAGATCTGTAATATTATCAAAGATTCAAAAAAAAAGAAAAAGCAATACTTTATACAATATTAGTCTGAATACAAAATTAGTCGATTGTCTTTTATAATTTATCATCATTAATCACTTATGATTATTATATAATACTGAAAGGAATATTATTGTAATACTTATCATAGTATTTATTATTCAATATTATTACATCTATTTGTAATGAATCACAACAGCTTACTTTTTTGCTCGGTGAACCGGAACAAAATTTGTGGACAGTGGTACCATAATCAATATCGTTTTCAAAATCCAAGTAATAACTTCGAACGAAAACAGATTTATGTGACAAGCATTCCAGATATACGCTACCATCACGCTGTGTTGAAATACGTACTCCCTTTCCAATGTGTAGCCTAAACAAATATTTTTTGTGAATTATTATTATAATTAATTACTTAAGATTATTATGTATCAATACTCAAAGGATGATTATTATTGCAATACTTGCCATAACATTTATCATTCCACATTATTATATTCATTTATACTGAATTATCTCGTTTTTTTCGCTCGGCGAATCGGAACAAAATTGAAAACAATGATACATAAGTTTTGTTGAAAAGCAAAGTTCTTTTCAAAAGTTTACAAATCATGATTCAGTAGTGTGTAAAAATTCGTTACTGCTTATTTTTACACTACATTACTGATTTTTTTAGAAAAAAAAAAATCTTTTCCTTGCTTTTTCGGATGCTTCACTTCTGTGCACGTTTGATAAGGCTCCTAAACAAAACCGACCATGTTTAGCTCCTGCTGGATTGACACCACCATCAATTACTACCTATGAAAGGATTTATTTGAAATTGTTGCAAAAGAAATTTAATAAATTCACATATCTATTTAATACTTCTTAAAACTATTGCAGAAATTTCACATAAGTTACAAAACCCTTAACAAAATGTAACATAAAGTTCAAATATAAAGTGGTTAATACTAAAGCTAAAAAGCATACAATTTTACTTCTCGCTAAAAACTAATAATTTTGATTACTCTGCCCAATTTTGATTTGAGATTTTTCCTAAATTCTGAAGTTTTCAAGCACAAAATACCTCTGTTCGATCTTTCCGAACTCGAAATGTTTCACCAATTTGCGTGTCTAATTCATAATATGATATGGAACACCAATGATCAGGTACTACAATATAAAAGAGTGCAAGAAATAAACAAAATTTTAATTTTTCAAATGTATTCTTTCGATAATACTAATTTTAAATGAAAAATTGAAAGTCTATGAAATTTCAGTATGTTGATTTATGGAAAGTAGTAGGATAAGCAAATGAATGAAAGTGGTACTTGGTGTGGTAGGTAAGCGTACTGAATCCAAATTATCTGAAATGACAAAACATTAGCTAAAGTTCACAGTTTTCAGAAGTTGAAATTAAATGAACAATAGATAGAATTAAGAAAGTAAATCCTATACTTACATCTACAACGGCCGGTTGGGTAATTACATGAATCGTTGATTTGTTGATAGTTAGCTGGAAAATGAATGAGAAATTATAAAATCTTTAAGTCGCTTCATCATTTTTTTTTTTTTTTTTTTTAAGGAAAATCAACGTGGTCATGATCACTTTTCGTTCCTTAATTTGTACTTTTCTGTGAACGATGTTATAAAAATTTTGAAAATTAGTTAGCAATTATTTGTGAGGGCTATTGTTTAGTAATTTTGAATTGCAAATATACACTCAAATTCCTGGAACATTCTTTTGAAAGCATTTTGTTAAATGATAAAAAAACTGGATGAGTAATGCACAAAATTCGAAATCATTTCAATCTTCTTTTTTTTTTTTTTTTTTGCACATATTAATTCTCATACTTTGCTATATACATATGTATATAAATTGTGCTAAATCAAAATTTGCATTGTAAATGTTCGAAAATGCCATTACCATGAGAATGGTGTTGATAGAAATGTGCAGCGGATGAATTTGTTGCTGATAAAACACAATTCTGATTCAGCCAAGCATGCTGTTCGTCAGCATTGGCGCCATCACTAGTGCCACCTTGCAACATACTTAATGATCCGGGTGATGTAACATCACAATATGAACTCTGAAATTCAACTATTACTTTTGAAACTTTTTGATATTCCTATCAATTAACTGAAGTGATTACCATTCTATTATTATACTATCTAGTAGTATAATTTCGTGATAAATTTAATGAATTAAATGTAAAACAAGTAAATTATAACAACATTCAGTAACATTATTTAACACAAATGGATCAAAACAATGAATAAAGTTGAAAACTATAAAATGCCTTCTCTTTTCTTCATAAAATAACCTACTTCAATGGGTAACGGTTGTGCAGCAATTTGTGCTTGGGCCATTTGTCCTGGTACAACATTACTAGAGAGCGGGTTTACCACTGCAACTTGTGATGATGATGACGGTGTAGTTAAAGCATCCAAACGAAGAGTTGACATATCTATAACATGAAACAGTAGATTTTGATGTAATTAACCAAATCATAATACTAAAAAACATAAATGCAATAGATAGAATGTACCAATGTTTCCAATGCTTGATGACACAACCCGTTCATAATGATATGGGTTAATGCATATTACGTCCTGAAACTGGTAAAAACTAACAATTTCCGAAAATCAGAGAATGAATCAAAAAATTTATTGCACTAGGTATTATTAAAGTTAGCACTGAGCTAAAATGTGCAGCATTTTTCAAAAACTAATAAAACAAAACCATTGAACAAGTTAAAAATGATTTCAGAAAGCAAAATTATTTCGATTTCAGTTTTGCTTCGCATAGTCATAACTCCTTTCTTGAGTATTCGACAAAAAAATTTGCAACAAAGTGTATGGAAAATTTTAAATGATACCTCCAGAATTATCTTACTTAATAAAATGACAGTCAATCAGTTAATCTGCTTTATTTCAAAGGAATAAAAGTGTAAAATTAATTAAAAAGACCTGGTTATCAGGTGCTACTACACAAATCGGTAATTTTTGCAGCTCATTCTTGTTAACATTTGGCCAACGCCAAATTCGAGCATAAACTACATGTGGCACACCTTTTCGGCCTGCAACTTGCAGTCGTCCGTCCAAAGATCTCTGTAATTCATTCGTGAATAAGGACAGAAAAGAATAAACGCCTTTATTTTTACGAAAAAAGAAACTTAAATAAAGTATAATTTGTTTAATATTTCTTAATAAAAGCTAAATTTCTATTTTTTTTCTTACGGAAATTACATTTAATCGCAAATATTTACACAAAGAACTGCAATCAAAATAAGGCGATAATAGACAACTTATGACAATTACGATAAGTTTTATTACCTCGCTGCTGATTAAACTATTTTTGATATAAGATTAATAATGATAGAAAAGAATGAACCTGGATGGTAACACAGGATGTTGGCTGTTTCCCAGCTGACGTTACAGCAGTAATTAAATTTTCCAATTCATTTCGCTTATCTTTTAATTTCTTTACCAAACTTTCGATTGC